TTAAGGGTTCTATGGTAACTCTCCAAAATTAAAGAGACAAATTAAAATTTGGGATTAGGTTGAAAAAAGTTTTGAATAGAGGGAAAGGGATTGCTCTGAAGATGAAGATACTAATTAACTTAAAACCTTATTATAAAGCTGTTGAAAGTACTTTAAAGGAAGGATGTTAAAAGTTAACCACCCCCTAAACTTAAATTTAGTTAAATTATGATACTTAGTAAATTTAGTTAAATTATGATATTTAGTTTCTCTTATTCTCTCTGATCGGATCAGCCATTTGGAACCTGCTGGTTGAGTTCTGGAAACATGGCCAACTGAGCTAATGGGTCATCTCCCCACATAAATGCTTAGAAATGCCAGTTGAAAGAAAATTAACAGAGTGCCCACCTCCTCCCCAAATCCCTGATAAGTTTTCCTATGAAGAAAGAAGGAGGGAGGGAGGGAAGAAGAAACCAGCCCCGATTGGAAACCATGGGAGCAGTCACATATCTTACTGCAAACACAATAGCTGTATAGACATCTGTGTGCTCTGATAAGGACATTACTACTAGACATTTTTATGAATAGACCTGTGGTTACTCCACTTGTCTGTCACATTGGGATCCTTTATTTTATGGAGAATCTTTGAGCGTGAGTTTAAATTGCTGTAGTCTGTCCTGGTCTTTCCTTAAATCCTCACGTCCTAATCTGGAAAACTACTTATTTACCCCAAAGATCTTTAGACCTTGGGTTGTGTAACTCTTGGATGATTAGTAAATAGATTATGGTCATTCATCTCTGCAAAAGTCTAGAATAACATTTTTAAAACGTTTAAAATGTTTATTGTAGTAAAATACATACAGCATAATATCTGTCATTTTAACCATATTTAAGTGTATGGTTCAGTGGCATTAACTATAATCACAGTGTTGAAATCAACCATCGCCACTATCTATTTCCAAAATTTTTCATCACTCCAAACAGAAATTCTACATGTTAAGTGATAACTCCCCATTTCTTCCTCTTCCAGTCCCTGGTAACCTCTAATCTACATTCTTTCTAACCTGTGAATTTGCCAGCTTCAAGATATGTCATATAAGTGGAATCATCCAATGTTTGCCCTTTTGTGCCTGGCTTATTCACTTAGCCTAATGCTTTCAAAGTTCATCCATGTTGTGGCAAGTATCAGAACTTAATTCCTTTTTACGGCCAAATAATACTCATTGTATTTACTACGTTTTATTTATCTGCTCGTCACTTGATGAATGCTTGGGTGGTTTCTGCCTTTTGGCTGTTGTGAATAATGCTGCTGTGAGTCCGCATACAAGTATCTGTTAGAGTTCTTACAATAGCATTTTGCAAACAGAAATGTAAATACATTGTGTAGAAAAATGAAGTCATCTGGACTTCCAGTGTTGACTAAAATTATTATTTCAGTGTAACTTGAGTAAACATAAACCTAAGAATTAACTCTTTATTGTGTATAGCTCGTAAAATCAAAATCAATTTTTCAGTTAAATAAAAATGCAACTATAAAATCAATACAACAGAAATAAACAACTTTCATCAAATTATATGTACTAAAAATAATTCTTTTGTTAGTTTTAATAGTGTAAAAAGATATTTACAGTTTTCAGTACAATGGAGCATTATTTTAGCCTTCGTCATTGTTATGTTTCCTTTTTAATAGTGAACTTTTTAAAACCACTAATCCATTATTTTGATGTGCAGGCCATTTGCTAGAGTATCCCAGAATTTAAATCTGGAAAACAACAATCTAAGGAAAAATTATTTGCTGCATATTTACTTCAGCAATTTCCATTAATGAACTGTTGGCAAGCAGGTGCCTATAAAGGCAAATCTACATAATACATACGCTTGCTATCAGTTACTGGTTGCTACAAGTACAGGTTTTAGTAATTCAGTTAATCCCAGGTATTTCTGTTGGAGCTTGTTTGAATTAGTAACATGGTGACACTTGGCCTTCATTTATTGCAAATACCACTTATTTATTTAATCTACCTCTGCTTATTATTAGCCCATTTCCATGAAACTAGTACAGCACTGTAAAATAGCATGTTGTTTTCAAGATGTTAAATCAAATTCTTAGTTTATTAAATTGGAACCTAAAGTCTTATTCCATAAAAATGTCTTTTACTTGCAAATCATACTACAAGAGTTTTTTATAACTAAAAAAATTAAAATACGAGCACAACAAAGGGACACAAGATAATAGTTGTTGTTTTGTCATTAGCATATGCCTACTCAAGAGCTGTTAGACATGCTTACCAATACCTGAAAAGATAAATTCTCTCTCCAGGGTATAATTTGTCAATATCTTAAACGTAAGCATGAAAACTAGCTGGAACACTGAAAATCCCATGTCGTGCTGAATTATAAAATGGTCGTCCAGGGCTTCCCTGGTGGCGCAGTGGTTAAGAATCCGCCTGCCAATGCAGGGGACACGGGTTCAAGCCCTGGTCCGGGAAGATCCCACACGCTGCGGAGCAACTAATCCCGTGCGCCACAACTACTGAGCCTGCGCTCTAGAGCCCTCAAGCCACAACTACTGAAGCCCGCGTGCCTAGAGTCCGTGCTCCACCGCAATGAGAAACCCGCGCACCGTAACGAAGAGTTAGCCCCCGCTCGCTGCAACTAGAGAAAGCCCGCGTGCAGCAACAAAGACCCAATGAGCAAAAATAAATAAACTTTTTTAAAAAAAGGTTCTCCAAGGATTCAGAATATTCTTGTATTTATTCTTTATTGTTACAAACATTTTTAATGGTCACGGGATTTAGATATTCCAAAGAATATACCAAAACACACCAAAGGATAACAGTCCCCTGTTTTGACCAATACTAGTCCCAACATTAATGCTTCCTCACATTGAACTCTCATTCTTTACTCACAAAAGAGTTGATCTGCCACTTAAAAATAGAGGGCTTGGGGCTTCCCTGGTGGCGCAGTGGTTAGGAATCCGCCTGCTAATGCAGGGGACACGGGTTCGAGCCCTAGTCAGGGAGGATTCCACATGCCACGGAGCAACGAAACCCGTGTGCCGCAACTGTTGAGCCTGTGCTCTAGAGCCCGTGAGCCACCACTACTGAGCCCACGTGCTACAACTACTGAAGCCCGCATGCCTAGAGCCCGTGCTCCACAGCAAGAGAAGCCACTGCAATGAGAAACCCACGCACCGCAGCGAAGAGTAGCCCCCATTCCCCGCAACTAGAGAAAGCCCGCGTGCAGCAATGAAGACCCAATGCAGCCAAAAATAAATAAATAAAATAAATTAATTTTTAAAAAAATAGAGGGCTTATGATTTCCAAGCTTCACATGAACTCAATTTTTACAACCAAGGTCATTTATGATTATTTAATGAGAAGTAGAATTGTCACATGGATGAATAATTGTATTTATTACTCAATTAATGCATTTTCTTTCTACTTGGAAAACTAAACTATGAGAAGGTTGTTTGATGAATACAGAACCTCTACATACAGTGGACGCTCAGTGAATGTTAAGGAATCGTTTTGATGGCTCCCTTCAACACCTATATTACTAAAAGAAAAAACTGTCAAATCAACCTTGATAAATGTCTCATCCAATCACGAATAATGTTCCTTTCTCTTGTTCCCACATTGATCCCTTGTCAACCCTCAACCTTCTGTTTTCTATCTAGTCACACCACCTTCAAAACAAGTTTCACAGCATTTTAAATGAAAACTCAACTCCTACTATGAAAAGAAAAATGTATAACAAATGTGCAAATTCCCAAAGGAGAGTCTCCTTTATGACCAAGGCTTCTCCATTTTTATTCATTGCTGACTTTAATTGTACTTTTAACTCTTGATTAGCCATATTTTAACTCCACAAAAGCAATAAAATTTTAATGACTACATGTAATTTACTTAATCTAGAGAACATCCTCCTGTAGACATTAGCAGATATACACTGTGGTACCTCTTTTATTTTTCATTTTAAAAATTAAGTTTAGGGCTTCCCTGGTGGCACAGTGGTTAAGAATCCACCTGCCAATGCAGGGGACACGGGTTCGAGCCCTGGTCCAGGAAGATCCCACATGCCACGGAGCAACTAAGCCCGTGTGCTACAACTACTGAGCCTGCACTCTAGAGCCCGTGAGCCACAACTGCTGAGCCCACATTCCACAACTACTGAAGCCCGTGGGCCTAGAGCCCATGCTCCACAACAACAGAAGCCACTGCAACGAGAAGCCTGTGCACCCCAACGAAAGAGTAGCCCCTGCTTGCAGCAACTAGAGAAAGCCCATCACAGCAATGAAGACCCAGTGCAGCCCAAAATAAATAAATAAATTAATTAATTAAAAACAATTAAGTTTAATAAACAGTATTTTTTACCATGACACTCTGCAGTACAGTTTTCTAATAATTAACACATTTCACAGTGTAAAGTCTGGCTTCCCTATCAAATCACCACTGAAGGTCAAGAATCCATGTGTCTGTCCTTTACAGTACTTTGCATACGGTACAAGAGCAATAATATATTTTAAATAAATGGTTAGATAAATAATATAAATAGGTATTACCTGAATCTATTCCAGTAATAGTTAAGAAACCCTGCCGTAATTTTGTCATGACTACTCATCCAACCGACAGAAGTTCAGTCTTGTTGCAGTCTCCCAAAAGAAATATTATGCAGGAAAAAATGTACTTGACTTTTAGGAAGAGGGCTTTTACTGTAAATAAACGTGGCATCTCCCCTCTTTAGTCATCCCCTTCCACTGTCAGTCATGCCAGCTTGCTAGTAAGCACCTCTTCTGCCGCCAGTTCAACCCCACTTCTTTTTTAAATTTTTCAGAAAGCTTCAATATATAAATTCTTAATCTGTCAAGAGTGCTGCCAAAGACAGTTTTATCAGCATCACATACTTGTTGAGCACATATACATCTTTGTAAATGTATGTAAAAGAAAATTGAGCAGGAAACTTATGAGACTTTTATAAATGTGAAATTTTATGCAATTTTGTATTTGATTTTTGTATAGGCAGAAATACTCAGTGTCCTCAGTCACAGAAACATCATCCAGTTTTACGGAGTAATTCTTGAACCTCCCAACTATGGTATCGTCACAGGTAAGAACTCTATTTGACTTTTTTCTTTCCCCAATTACCTAGCTTTAGATTCTTTAATATGCTAAAATGCTTAATATTAGGTTCTGTCATGAATTGTGTGCTACTGTCAGATGTCACTTTTGTTGCTATAAAGCATTAATAAAACTGATTATATCAATATAATTAAGAATGGTGTTTCCACTTCTACCCATGTTTAATTGTGCTAATTATATCTGCGTAAATGCTATTTAAATGCACTCACAGCTGCACTACCAATATTTAAAGGTGCCATTTAACTAAAATTTCATTTAATTAGTTGAAATGAGCGATGTTTTTTGTAACTCTGTGACCTTTTACAAATTAAGATTTCTTGAGCTATTCATGTTATAATTCTTTGCCAGGCATTTTAATCCCGTTAGAGCATTCTTTTTTCAAGGCCTCTGACATGAGAATATTTTTCAGATTTGGTCATCTGCGTTGATAATGACCTTGATCTAAATTATCACATAATTTGGAGCAGCAGTTTATAACTGATGGAAATACCCTCTCCAAAAAGGAGCACACAGAAAATTTTGCCGTATAAAAACACAGAAAGGCACATATTTTTAATACTTTATACTCATATTTGTATAATCCAATGAGCAGCTTCAGGTCTATGATAAGTATAGTGCTCAATTTTACAATACGTAACTTTGACCAGGTTCTTTATCACGGCAGTTCTTTGATCAAAACAAAGCAAACAAGAAAACCTTAAAAGATTAGCCCTCTCTTCTTCTACTGTAGTGTTAAGGACTTGGATTGTCTTTATATAAAATGACAAAACACCCTCAGTAAAAAGGGCTGGATTAGGTACTTCCTTATAAATTATCTCATCTAATAGCTAGAATAACCCTATGAAATAGATAAAGTAATTTTATTTCACATAAGAAACTAAAACTCTAACTTAAGTACTTTCCCAAGGTTACCCAGCCAGTGGTAGAACCACAGTGGTATACATTTCTCAATTTGATTTTATACAGAATCTCCTCTTCTTGTATGCAAGAAGCCTATGAGCACACTGTAGATCCAACGGATGTGGAGGGCTGACTGTACTGCTCCATTTTATATAAGGGACTTGAGTATCTGTGGATTTTGGTATCTGCAAGGGGTCCTGGTACCAACCCCCCACAGATGCTGAGGGATGACATACGTACACGAACTGAGTCAAGTGTGGAAGATCAAATGGGTAGGGGATGATAGCACTTGCCCTGCCTCTTGAAATGAACACAAATAAGTCTTAGTACGGGAAGGTTAAGGCAGAAAGAGACAGGCACACACACCTTGATCACCCCGCCTAGCTAGCTCCCTCTCTTTAGAACCTCATTGTCTTTCTCAGATGTTGGGGTTCTGAGGGGGAAATCTTGAATGGCTTGAATCTATTCCAACCTGAGTGTACTTGTTAATAGAAAAGGTTATTACAGCAGGCAGCTGTTGTCACTCATACTGAGGACTTGAAAGAATAATTTATCAGAGTGATGGAATGGAATAAACACCAGAATAGGAATTGAGAGATGAAATCTTGTCTTGATTCTGCCAAAGCTGCATAGGTGGGTCACTGATGATCTATGTCTCAGTTTTCTCATATGTGAATTAAGGGACTAGAATTGATGATTTCTGGGTGAGAGTGTGTATGTGTATGTGTGCACCTGTGCATGTGTGTTTGCTGAAACTTCTCATCACAGAGAAGATTTTCTAAAATCTGCTTATAAGAACTCGAACAGAGTCCAAGAGGCAGCTGCCATTTTATTTCCCTTGGAAGGGAAGTGAACATTTTTCTCCCAGATCTACAGAGAAATGGGGTGACTAGAATCTCAATCTCCAAAGTCAAAAGAAAAGATACAATAGTGGACCATCTTTTCTTTGATCTTTGGAAACCTTAATTCTGTACTACCGTGCAAGCAATAACCATGAACTGAAGTAACTATCATAATTTCAGACAAAATAGGCTTAAGAAAAGAAATATTACTAGAGATAAATTGGGTCATTTCATAATGATAAAAGGATGAGCATATCAGGAAGATACAGCAATTGTAAATGTATATACAGCTAACAATAGGTCCTCAAAGTACATGAAGCAAAAATTGACAGACTTTAAAGGATAAATAGTCAGTTCAACAATAATGGATTTCATTACCCCACTCTCAGTAACTGAGAGAACAACTAGATAGAAAATCAGCAAGGATATAGAAGGCTTGACAAACGTTCTCAACCAACTCTACCTAACTCACATACATAGAATACACCACCCAACAAAGAATACATATTCTTTTCAAGGGCACATGGAACATTCTTTAGCATACATAAGTTAGGCCATGAAATAAATCTCAATATATCTAAAAGGACTGAAAAGTTCTCCAACTACAATACAATTAAGTTAGAAATTAATGCAAGAAAGAAACCTGGAAAATTCCCAAATATTTGGAAATTAAACAACATATTTCTAAATACCCAGTGAGTCAAGAAACTACAGTGGATTTTTAAATATTTTGGACAGAGAGAAAAGTAAAATGTAGCATATCAAAATTTTAGGTGGCAGATAAAGTAATACTTGGGGGGGGATTTATAGCTTTAAACATCTATGTTAAAAAAAAAAAAGGTCTGGGCTTCCCTGGTGGCACAGTGGTTGGGAGTCTGCCTGCCGATGCGGGGGGCACGGGTTCGTGCCCCGGTCCGGGAAGATCCCGCGTGCCGCGGAGCGGCTGGGCCCGTGAGCCATGGCCGCTGGGCCTGCGCATCCGGAGCCTGTGCTCTGCGACGGGAGAGGCCACAACAGTGAGAGGCCCGGGTACCGCAAAAAGAAAAAAAAAAAAAAAAAAAGGTCTGAAATTGATCATTAAGCTCCAACCTTAACAAATTGCAAAAATAACAGAATAAACCCAAAGCAAGCCCAATGAAAGGAAATAATAAGGATTAGAGCAGAATGCAATAACACAGAAAAATAATAGAGAAAATCCATGAAACTAAAAGTTTGGTCTTTGCAAAGATCAGTAAAACTGACAAACCTTTAGCTGGACTGACCAACAAAAAAGAAAATACAAATTAGCAAAACCAGGAATGAGGGAGAGGATAGCACTACAGTCCCTACAGAAATTTAAAAGGATTATAAGGGAATGTTATGACCAACTTTATGCCAACAAATTAGACAATTTAGTTGCAATGAACAAGTCCCTGAAAAGATAAAAAATTTCAAAACTGACTCAAGAAGAAACAAAAAATCTGACCAGAACTATAAGTAAAGAAATTTAAATTTATAATTTAAAATATCTTCATAATGAAACGCCAGACCCAGATGATTTCACTGGTGAATACTATCAAATGTTTATAGAAAAAATAACACCAGTCCTTCCCATACTCTTTCTGAAAACAGAAGAAGGAACACTTACCAACTCATTCTATAAGGCCAGTATTATCCTAATATCAAAGCCAGATAAAAACATAATAAGAAAACTTCAGACCACTGTCCCTCCTGAACATAGATGCAAAAATCCTTGACTATGTATTAGCAAACTGAACACAGCCACCAATAAAAAGGACTATACACCACAACCAAGTGGAATTTATCCCAGAAATGTAAGGTTGATTTAACATCTGAAATCAATTAATATAAAGCATCATAATAGATAATAGAATAAAAGACAAAAACCATTTGGCATTCTACAACACCCATTTACGCTAAGAAATCTCAACAGGCTAAAAATAGAAGTCAATTTTCTCAGCCTGATAAATAGCATCTATTAAAACCCACAGCTAAGATCTTACTTAAAGGTGAAAAATTGAATGTTTTTCCCTTAAGGTTGGGAACAAGGAAATGAGGTTCTGCTCTTGTCACATCTAGTCACCATTGTACTGGAGGTTCTAGTCAGTTTAATCAGGCAAGAAAAAGAAAATAAAAGGCATCCAGGTTAGAAAGGGAGAGGTAAAACTGTCTTACGTGACATGATTCTCTAAGACTCAGGACACCCCAGGAATCCACAAAAAACTACCAAAACTAATAAACAGGGTAAGCAAGGTCACAAGGATCCAAGATTAATATACAAAAATTAATTGTAGGGGGCTTCCCTGGTGGCGCAGTGGTTGGGAGTCCGCCTGCCGATGCAGGGGACACGGGTTCGTGCCCGTGTCCGGGAAGATCCCACATGCCGCGGAGCGGCTGGACCCGTGAGCCATGGCCGCTGAGCCTGCGCGTCCGGTGCTTGTGCTCCACAACGGGAGAAGCCACAACAGTGAGAGGCCCACGAACCGCAAAAAAAAAAAAAAAATTAATTGTATTTCTATATACTGGGAATGAACAGTCTAAAGATGAAATTTAAAAACCATTCCATTCACAGTACTATCAAAAAGAATAGTACTTTGGTATAAACTTAATAGTATTGGGGTATAAATTTAACATAAGAAGTGTTAAGACTTGTGCAATGAAAAGTACAAAACATTGCTGAGAGAAAATAAAGATCTAAATAAATGGAAAGATTACATGTTCGTGGCTTGGAAGACTCAATATTGTTATGACAGCAGTTCTCCCAAATTGATCTACAAATTCAAAACAATTCCTGTCTAAATCTCAGCAGACATTTTTTGTAAGGAATTGACAAGGTGATCCTAAAATTCACATAGAAATATAAAAGACTGGAATAGCCAAACCAGTTTTAAGAAAGATCTAAGTTTAAGGTCTTTGCCGCATTTCAAAACTTATTATATAAAGATGTTAAAAAAAAAACTTATTACAGATCTGTAGTAATTAGCATGGTGCAGTATTGACACAAGGACAGGCATATAGAGCAATGGAGCAAAATTAAATATTTAGGGGAAAAAACCTTGCATTGATGGTCAATTGATTTTCAACAAAAGTGTCAAGACTATTAAATGGCTAAAGGATAGTCTTTTCAACAAACTGTGCTGGGAAAATTAGAAATCCACATGCAAAAAAAAAAAAATCTTAGACCCTCACCTCGAACCATACACAAAAGTAAACTGAAAATGGATCATAGAAATTATCAAATTGTACACTTACAGTATGTGAATTTTAAGATAGAGAATTTATATCTCAAAGCCATTTTTAAAGGAATGTTCTCACTTTCTTGGCCTTTTGTGCTTCAAATTTGAGGGCTCTTCTAAATCCTGATGCAACAAATACTGATTTGTTTGCATTGTCACATAAACCCTCTGACTTATGTGTTTCATCTTATCTCATAAGAATAACAAATTTTTGAAGAAATACCTATATTCATGCCTACCTTTGTTTCAAATACATTCTTGCAACATCCTTGTGTTTCTGAATTTCATCTGAATGTCTTTGGATTTCATTGTCAGCTCAAGTTTTATTATTCATTCTGTTAGTGGTCTTGTCTTTGACAGATTTCTTACCAGGATGATATTCACTTTTAGAAACTTTTAGAAACGGCATGGAACAGTTTTTATAAACTTTTAATGCCTTTTGTTAAATTATTTAACACATTTTCCCAATGAAACTATGAAGTCTTATTTCTGAAATGTGCCTTGGTTTTAATTATATGCTTATGTTTCCTTTGAAAATAGAATATGCTTCTCTGGGGTCACTCTATGATTACATTAACAGTAACAGAAGTGAAGAGATGGACATGGATCACATTATGACCTGGGCCACTGATGTAGCCAAAGGTAATGCTTCATGTATTCTTACAGAATTGATGGAGAGCATCCTGACATAGTGACTTTAGTCGGAGGATTTCTTATTCTGTATCTTAAGATGTTCTTTTTTCAGACCAAAAGTAGCAAGAATTCTGCAGCTTACTGTGCACATAATATTTTAGGTCATTGCCTTTCTACTCCTGCATTCCTTTTCTCTCCTTCCTTTCTTTTTTACCAAAAACCAAGTTCCAACAAAATCAGTGGCTCCAAGGCAGCATTTTTGCCCTATTTTGTGACATTGTAATTGGCCAGCTTGTTTGATACATTAAATGGAAAGATTATAATTCTGTTGTGCTGCAGGTCTCTACTTAGATGCAGTATCCAGAAAACATGACTTACTGTAGGATTAGTTCTACTCATTTCGGATACATAATAATATGCTAAAAATAGTAACCGCTTGGAAAAAATTTTTTTATTTATCCTGCCATGCAAAAGCAATTCAGATTTTATTTTATATTTAATGTAAACTTGGAAATCACCCTTGGAAATGAAATATTTTTAATACACAATATGCCTAAACAAGGTGCCTAGTTCTTTTTCCCTCATAAATTCCTGCATAGACAAATGCTTTCTAAAGCAATTTAAATTCCATTTATTTTTATCTTTTTATTTTCCATTTTCCTAACTGAATGTTTCTGAGTTTTATTTATAACTGTCAAAGTTGCTTTGGAAACAACTTAATCTAATGAATGCTGATGGTTACGTTTGTATTCTAGCAACCCCTAGAAAGCAAGTCTTTCCAAATTTTACTGGAGCAATTAACTCCTTTGCATTTTGCCGCTCCAATCTCTACCAACATCTCTTTACAAAGCAAATAAAGGAATATTTAGCATCCAATAAGGAAAGCAACTCATACTTTGCTTTCACTGGGAAGTTACACAGGGACTTCCAAAAGCAATAGCCTTTCCTTTGGGGAATTATCTTGTCTGCTTTAAGTTTCATCAACACCTGCCAAATTCTTCAAATGGAGAAAGTGAAAATTATAAAAAAAAAAAAAAAAGTTTCATGCTAAATGCTGCTGCTTGAATGATACTTCATTACCTTATAAGAATAATAAGCTCTATGTTTAGGATGGTATACCTAAGGCTTTGGCTGTGTTAATTAACTTAATTGTGTATTCATGCATCAGACGTCTCAAATCAGCCTTAAAATTTCACATTCTTCAAGACATTTTCATGTAACATCATAGCCACTTCTCTGCATATCAGTAGGCCACCTGTTTGTAAGCAGGGTAATGTGCTATTATTGGAAACTGCCTGAAGCATTGTGGAAATACACTTACAGAAATGTAAATACATATACAAGCAGTCCTTGACTTAAAACACTTCACCTTACAGACATTTGCATTTAGGGTGCTCAGCCAATTACACCCATCTTATTACTTAATGGCACTTAAGATGGATAGACAGCAAACAAATCAACCGACACCAGTCACTCAGCTTCCAGCTGTACACCCTCCACTTAAGCTTCTCTGGCCCCCAGCCTGTAAACCTCATCCCTCCTGGTCCCTTCCCCTGCAACAGTCCCTGTCTGTAGGGCAAGTCCTTTGGCTCCAGATCAGCTCAGTCATTCCTGTGGTTTCTCAAGAGCCCTGGACTCTGTATCAGAAGTACAAGGAGGAAAAGGAATAGGACTAAATAGCACACTGGAACTAGAGGTAAAAAATAGGGGTGGAGAAAATGGGAGTGTCCAGAGCCACACGGTAATAAAATCACCTTTTGGCGGCTGATGAATTAATCTGAAAGGCAAGTTCTAATGTGTTTGGACTCAGGTGAGAAGCGTGAGGCAGGGAAGAGACTTGTTTATGTGTAGTCACAAGTAATACTTAATACTTGAAATGGCCTACGAAAGGAAGAAGAAATCAGTGCTTTCAGAATGACTTCTACCCTCTCTGATAAAGCTATGTGTAGAACTTGGAGATGAAATAGGAAGGCTTGATTTCTGTTGATTCCATTTTGAATTCAGCTGTGCCCTTCAGTTTGACCATGACTGAAGCCACTGAAGCAACAAGATGTTGAGAAATGAAAGGATGAATAATTCATTTCAAATAAGAGTGGATTCGTGCATTTTGAAATAGGCATTGCTTAACATCACTGCAAAGAGAAAACCTCCTAAAAGGCAAAAAAAAAAGATTCTCTTCTTTCTGGATGGGAAGAGGGAGAGAGGGCAGACCAGCCAGTATAGCTGAAATTGCTACAGGTCAGTCAACAATGGGTAAAAGGAACAATTAAAGCAAATAAACCAGGATCCAATCTCCAAATGGTCATCATTGATTCCAAATCTCCCCAGTGACTCCTGTGAAATCTTTTTTTAGGAAACTCTGAATCTTAAAATTGATGAAAATATTTTTCAGCATTCCTATTTTTTTGCAATAAACATAAGGCAGACAGAATTGTAGATAGCTCTATAAAAACACATTAAATAGAATTTTATATGATTTTGATTACAATTTTTTATGTACACTAAATATTCTATAAATGTATATTATATGTTATACACAAAAAAGTTACAACACTTTTTCTCGTAATAGCTGCCATGAGGAAGAAAAGTGCCTGTATTTAAAGCTTCTGTGCTTGAACGTTTTTTGAAATTCTTTATTGTCAGCAAATGTAGAAATGATCTAGGTCTACCTCTAATAGTTAATTAGTTTCTACCTAAAAAATTATTCAGGAATTTGATTCTTAAAGACAAAGAGAAATAACTATGAAATTCTGTCATAAAAATTATTAAAAGTTACCTGAGTTGTAGCTTTTGAATTTTCACAGCTTAGAATATGTAGAACTTAATATTAGAAGAAATTTTTCTTTTATTCCAGTTATATCTTGTTTAAGATCATTTGAATTACTAATACTTTTGTTGACTCTTCAGTAATAGCTTTATATGGCAAGAATTTAAATTTTTTGAAGTTTTTCTTTGTTCTTTCATGATTCTTCACTATATAATAATCAGAATGTAGAAAATAATAGATTATTTTTAAAATTAGCCTTTATAAAACTGAAATTTTCTATATACTGTAAAAAAAAGAACCAAGGCCTAGTTATTAAATTATTTTTCAATAGATAGTTCATTAGGGCTTCCCTGGTGGCGCAGTGGTTGAGAGTCCGCCTGCCCATGCAGGGGACACCGGTCCGGGAGGATCCCACATGCCGCGGAGCGGCTGGGCCCGTGAGCCATGGCCGCTGAGCCTGCGCTTCCGGAGCCTGTGCTCCACAATGGGAGAGGCCACAGCAGTGAGAGGCCCGCGTACCGCAAAAAAAAAAGATAGTTCATTAACCAAAGGAACCTGTTTGATTGGGGTGAGGGGCTATTCCATTGTTTAGAAAAGACAACTTGAGAAATAAAGAGAGGAAATGTTTCAGTAGAAAATGCTCTTGTTCTTTATTCTAAGGGGATAGACTGTATAAATACTGGGAAAGAGTCATTTTTTAATTCAAAATAATGAAACTCTATATACATCCAATTTACTGAAGTAACCTGATTTTCAATATGTTGTAGAGAATTTTGGAGTACATTTAAATATATATTATGTCGAAGATTTATCCTTGTAAGAAGAATAAAATATTTTGTAACTACTGTATATTTTTCTATCTGAGGATCCCCAAATCCTTTACCAACCACAACTAATGAATCCAATCAGTTCTCCCCACCCCTACCCCACCTCCACTCCCAGGGTCTTACTGGAATGAGTACTGAGAAACCAAGCTTCACTGGGTAACTGCAGACATGCAAATGAAAACTGAAATTTTTGGTCAGAACTTTGGCTGATTTAGAAGGCAGTTGGTAGTATAGAATACCTTAGTCATTGGAGCATTTCTTCCAGTAGTATCTGTGCTATTTTCTTGCAGACTCCAGAAAATTAAGGTGTCCTTATTGGGTATTATAAGAAGCTAGCTTTATCCACAATCAAATTCCAACTTCTAAGAAGTTAAAGCACATAAATTTTTCTTAGCATATAAATTGTCTTAATATGGGCATATCCTGTCCCTATTTTATCCATCATGGAAGAACAGAGCACATGAATTTAGTTTTTGCTATTAAATCCTTTGCAAAAATATGGAAAGTAATACTGATGTTTAAAATAGGTAATACTGATGCAATGTTGAAAAATTATATTAATAGGCCTTTCTTCCTTTTTGTACAAAAAGGAATGCACTATTTACATATGGAGGCTCCTGTCAAGGTGATTCACAGAGATCTCAAGTCAAGAAATGGTAACGTAGTCATATGTTTTTATTTTACCTACTTTATCCTAAAATACATGCACCGTTGTATAGAAATAGGCATCATGCTTTCCATCTCTTTTGTAACCTGCTGTTTTGACTCACTGCTGATACTGTGAAAATCTTTCCTCTATTAATAAATGTTAAAATCCTCCACATTATTTCAAGGGGCTGCATAGTATTCCACTGTATAAGTAGCACAGAATATGGACATTTGGGTTGTTTACATTATTTTTTCTATGATAAGAAATGTTGAAGTTAATACTTCTCAGTAGAAATTTTCAACACATCCCTAATTATTTCTCTAGAATCATTTTCTAAAACAGGTATTGCTGGTCAAAGCACATAGTTGTGTATTTCTAGTTCTTCTATTTTTAGATGGCTCTCTGTACTAGCAGTTTGCAGTTTTGTTCTTGTTACTCCTGAGTTATTTGGTGTAAATTTTTTATGTCACTCACATTACCCGAAGGAGTGCCCAAAAATGATCAGCACAGGTTTGGAAAGTAAGAGCTTTCTTTTTCTTCTTCTCTACTTCCTAAAGTTTATTTATGATCCTGTATTTTATAATTCGGAGAGTGAGCACTTTTAAATGGCAGGATTAGATGTTACCTTCAAGTAGGAGTGGTAATAGAATGCTTTGTCCATTACATCACTTGAAAATTAATGGAAAAAGGCAGTGGGATTATTTAGCTAGCCAGCACTCAGAGTTTGCTACTTAAAAACAAAAAATCTTGCTGTCAATTCATTCACATGCTTTAATTTTTTACTTGCTTTCTAAGTGATTCTTCTAAGTATGGAGGAGGAGGAAAACAATTTATTTTTAGAAAATCTTTAAATCACTGCAGTTAAAATGGGTAACTGCTAATAGTGTGATCCTTAGAATGGGTAGTCATGGCCAGCCGAGGAAGAGAACTCAGGAATCCAACCAGCTGCCCAGGACCTTGATGCTTGCGGGGGTGGAGGAGGGGAAGTTGTCGGCAGCTGCCACTCCTCAGCAGTCCAGGTTGGACCAGCACCCTGACCCTGACAGTTCACTCTGGCTGATTGTTCTTGCCCTTTTCTAGGTTTCATCACTTATCCTTTGGCTTTTCTTAGACATAAGCTTCCTGGAGCTAAATACTTTTAATATATATTGGCTAGCAGGAGGTCATTAGGAAATAATACAGAATCTAGTAGGAAGTATCAGAGTTTTATGACTTTGTACATTTTCAGTTCTTGCTCAGAGTTTCAATCTAAATAAGTTGTTTAACATCTCTCCTTTTAATCTAGTTTACCAGTATATCCTATATATCCCATGAGAGGAGAATGGTTAAATTATCCAAGATGTCATTATGAAGACTAACAATGGAGAATGTTCCCATTTTTAGAAATTACAGTTTGCGGCCTTCCCCGGTGGCACAGTGGTTAAGAATCTGCCTGCCAGTGCAGGGGACACGGGTATGAGCCCTGGTCCAGGAAGATCCCACATGCTGCAGAGCAACTAAGCCTGTGTGCCACAACTACTGAGCCTGTGCTCTAGAGCCCACGAGCCACAACTACTGAGCCCACGTGCCACAACTACTGAAGCCCGCATGCCTAGAGCCCATGCTCCGCAACAAGAGAAGCCACCGCAATGAGAAGCCCACGCACCACAAAGAGGAGTAGTCGCTGCTCGCCACAACTAGAGAAAGCCCGTGCATAGCAACGAAGACCCAACACAGCCAAAAATAAATAAATGTAATAAATAAATAAATAAATCTATATAACTTAGAAAATGAAAGTCCTACTATTCTGTCTCCACCCCCACCCCAAAACTGTTAAAAGTTTGATCTATATTGTTTCAGTGTGTATGTGTTTTCACATCAAGTAACTACACAAACTGTAAATTTATTTTTGGCTGCGTTGGGTCTTCGTTGCTGTGCGTGGGCTTTCTCTAGTTGCAGTGAGCAGGGGCTACTCATCGTTGCAGTGCACAGGCTTCCCATTGCAGTGACTCACAAGATACGTATGTGAATATGTTCAATAAGCAGATAGATATGTAGTTTTGAGGCTGAGATCTATTTGAGAGTGTTAAGATGTAGTTGGGGCTTTTATGGGAGTGGGCGAATAAGAGCATAAGAAGGGAGAAGGCCAAGGGCAGAATCCTGAAGAGATGTTTCTAGCCTTTCCTTTGTAAGCCACACAGTGCCTTGAACATGGTAGTTTAGCAATACTTATTAGCTGTTACTAATGACCTTGATAAGTGGAGAAAATAACCTTTGCATGATCCAATACACAGAAATAGCCTAAGGGTAAATTTGATACTATATATAATAAGCTGTACATTTTTTCAAATAAAAATATAAATATGGTTAATACTATATTCAGTTATTTAAAAAATACTTCTACTTTTTTTATCATAAGATTAATAAGTGTTCATTAAAGAAGTCTAACATTATAAATCTGTGTACTAAAATGTACTGTGTCCAAGTTGATCTTTTCATCTTCTGCCTACCCCCCAAAAAATTATTCCTTCATTCCCTTCTCAGTGAGTGACAATACCAGTTGCCTAATCCAGTAATCAAATAAAAAGGAATTACAGTTCGATTGCAGAGTTCCTGTTCTAACCATTATGCTGTATGGCCTCTATTTTATTTCCTCTTTGAGTTCTCCTCCTCCTCCCCCATAGCCAATAATCCAAGCCCAGTTGATTCTGCTTCCTGTTTCTTGACTCGGTCCACTTCTCTCCTGTCCTTTGCCACAGCCTTAGTGCAGGCATCCTCATCTCTCTTGGACTACAACACTGGTGCACACAGTGATCTACTTACCTGTGTTCTGTTCCCCTCCGCACATTTGACCGTTTCATTCCTGCACTTAAAATCATTCATTGCCTTTCCATTTCTCACAAAGGCTCTTCTGGACCTGGGCTGTGCCTTTTCCTCTGCTCCTGACCTTTTGCACAAGCTCACTCTTCTGCTTAGAAAACTGCTTTCCTCCCCCAGGTCTCCTCTTTCTGGTTAGCATCGCATCATTTCTTCCAGGAAACTTCAGCCTCCTTACACTTTGACTTCTTAGACTGCTCTTTGGTCCTATGGCAGTCTCCATGCCTCTCATCATGGAACTTATCCCACTTTATTATAGATGTTTAACTGTCTTTACCATTAGACTGTAATCTCTACCAGAGCTGAGACAATGTCGGTCTTGCTCACCTTCCTCTGCTAGAACATAGTACATGGCCTTGCCCATAGTATATGCTCAACAAATATTTGTTAAATGAATGAATGTATGAATAAGTAAATAAATGAGCATTATTTCTGCCTTCAAGAAAAATTACTCTTCAGCTGGGAGGAAAAACCATATATACCATGAAGTAATAATGCTGATTATTCCTCAGTATCATGTTGACAGTCTAGTGGCAAAACCCAAGTAAAAATTTGGTTCTCTTGACTACTACTAATCTACGCCTTTCTTGCTGGACTTAATTTAAACCAGTGTTTTGAAGCCTTTTTTAATCAGCACCTCATAGAATTAGTTTTTTATTTTTATTTTAATGTCAGCTCCTTTTTACAAAATCTTCAGTGCAGTAAATACTTTAATTTTACCTTTCATAATGCCATATGGAAGATAGAAATAGAAGTTTATAATATTTTTCAGTATAACTCAAATTAGATGAGTTTCATAATTTATCTTTTTTTTTTCCTTTTAGTTGTTATTGCTGCTGATGGGGTGTTGAAGGTAGGACTCTTTATTTTAATTTTTAAAAATTTCGTTAATTTCAGATGTAGGTTTTGTGACTGGTAATTCTTTTGTTAGTCAGTGAGTAAAAAGTTGATACTCGTTTCTCTTTTCTCAGATCTGCGATTTTGGTGCCTCTCGGTTCCACAACCACACAACGCACATGTCCTTGGTTGGGACTTTCCCGTGGATGGCTCCAGAAGTTATCCAGAGTCTCCCTGTGTCTGAAACTTGTGACACATATTCCTATGGTGTGGTGAGTTCATTTCTTATTTTTTGTTGCTAAAGGACATGCAAAAAGCAAACAACTTGCAGAAGCGGGGTATGACAATTTAACCCAGTTTTAAAACAATGATGCTGTTTCTGGTGGAATGCCCAGAGCAGTGGCAACAGAGAGAATATTTTCTAATTACTAGAAGGTTTACTTTGATCATTTTTATGCATCTGAGTTATTTTGTCCTGTGTTGAGAAGAAGCCAGTGCCATCTGCAAGAAGCAAATTTAGATGGAACCTAAAATAGTGTTGGGCCTGATGCCCTCCTGTGGAGAGTGCCTTCCTGGGTGGACATATGTCTGTAGAATATCTCTGCAAGTCAGTGGGTACAATGTGGAACAGGACTTCGTTGTCATGTGTTGCTCAGAAACCACCAATGGATCTGCCAAATGAGTTAATTAACAGGAAATGTCAACCATTTAACTGATTAGTGAATTTCTGGAGAATACAGAAGAAAATGTGCTTATCATCTAGCACATAGCCTTGCCCATGTCTCCTGCAATGGCTTTCTGAAGCATGAATCTAAGGTCTCACATAAGAATACCAGCAGAGCCAGATAGTTACAAGAACAGAATAATGTGCCGGTGGGATGCTCAAGGAAGAGAGACCACAGGAATGAAGTGAAGGAGCAGAAGCTGCTAGAGGAGTTTTGAGATGGATCATTCTTGAGGAATAAGTTGTATCTGAATTAGCAGAGAGAAGGAAGTGGGGGCAATGGGGGAGGAGAGGCAGGGAGGGGAGAGTGGGCAGGGAGTTTCCTTGGTGGACGAAGGAATTTGTTGCCCTTTTTTGAGGATAAGTTTTTTATCCCTAAAAATGCTGTATTTCCTTTAAAAAGTCCAAAATAGTGTTTGGAACCCCCTGTCTTCGCCTCTCATCTCCTGATCATATTGCCTCTCTATTTTATAACTTCTTAAAAGGAGACTTTCATAATAATGGGGAAAAAGCAGTCTAACTGTAGACCAAATCAACATGCCTCTTCTTCCTGAACTTCTGTGTTTTCAACTGAAGGTGACAGCTGATAGCACAGGAGACCAACACTGTCAAACCCATTCCTTTTTCTTTAGAGTTCATCAGTCTCTAGGTAATTACTGCTAGCCTCAGTAAGTTCTGGGCTGGTTTCAGTTAGCTAGCTTTTTCTAAATCATTAGTACATCTTATGTATACCAAATTAATATAATAGCAGTTTTGTTGGCTATTGAAAAAAATCATTTCATGAATGAAATATATGTTTTTGATGAAAGGCTAGAATTGTAAAAGTTGGAAGACAGTAGTAGCATCAGGTTAAATACCTAATTTTCCTTAATTCTGTGTGCTTCTAATAATGAAGGCTATAACCTATTTTAGACAGTGATAAAATAATTCTTATCAAAAGAAAGGGAAAAAACCAAAAGTTCCTGAAGAAATATGTTCTAAAGCTGGTCCCGTATGTCAAAAGTTACTACGTTCTAACCATTCTACAAGTCATCTGCTGGGGAGTCTGAAAATGGGGAAATTTGTTGCGATTTAAGACTGTTTGTGAGATTATTTCCTCTTAATGAAGTTATGTTCCTCATTTTTTTTTTTTTTTTTTTGGCGGTACACGGGCCTCTCACTGTTGTGGCCTCTCCCATTGCGGAGCACAGGCTCCAGACGCGCAGGCTCAGCGGCCATGGCTCACGGGCCCAGCCGCTCCGCGGCATGTGGGATCCTCCCGGACCGGGGCACGAACCCGTGTCCCCTGCATCGGCAGGTGGACTCTCAACCACTGCGCCACCAGGGAAGCCCTATGTTCCTCATTTTTAAGCAAAAATCTATTTATTGTGTCAGGCACTGTGCTAGACACCAACTTAGGGCAATTTACATTTTACTTTGCCTGCTCCTTGGGACCAGTGTCTCATTTTATCCTGTGGAAACAGGAGCCAGCAAACTTTTTCTATAAAGGCCGGATAGTAAATATTTTAGACTACGAGGACCACTTACAATCTCTGTTGCATATTCTTTTGTTTTTTACAACTCTTTAAAACCGGTAAAACCACTCTGCCATCTGTAGCGGACTGACATTTGAGACCCCTGTGGAACCCTCTTATTCAAGATTGGAAGACAAGCCACATGGCTGAAGAACGGTTCCTAGTATTTTGATAAGGAACCACAATTCTCACTCTGTCCTATTGCATGTTAGTTTTAAAACAGGGGCTACTCTTTTGCTATCTTAAAGAGAGGGGTTTACTCGGAATGCTGGTTATTCTTACCCCATAGCTGCATCAGCAGAATTCCATTCAGAAAAGTGCACATGTGCTCATTTAATTATAAATGACAAATCAGGATTTTATTTAATTCTGACCCCTTCCCATAGTACTGTCAATTAACACCATTAGTGAAAGAAAAAGTACAAGGTATGCTTTACTGAGCCTTTTTGTTTAAACAATCAGTTTTTTTTTTTTTAATGAAAATAGCGTTACATGTCCCTAAAAGAGCAGTAGAGGACAGTTATTAAGGTAGGGGCCATGTTAGCTGTAGAAGTTTATAGTGCATAAACCTTGAAAATTATATCTATCTAGGAGAGCAATGCGGGCATTTAGAATTTTTGATGTCCTTTCAAAACAGGTGAGTAACCAGAACTCCTTTGTCAGTAGGTGCATCTGTTTGCAGAACACATACCAGGGTTCATTAAAAAGCCTGCTCCATTAATTGAGCTCCCAGCCACAGAGCAGTCACATGCAGGTGAATAAGAACATAAAAAACAGTTGTCCCTTTTTTGAAACCCATCCCCCAAACCCCAATATATGTTTGCTTTTTATTTTTCTTTCTCAGACTTGCTGTAAGAATTTAGCCCTTCATAGTCTCAAAGTCCCTAGCCCTCCCCAGTTTAATTAACCTCTGTTTCTTCTTAACACATGAGGAGACTAGCCAGCCTTGTATAGCCCTGAAATAAACGTGCTGGTGAAATGCCAGAAATGGATCTTGTGATCCTTGCTTCTGCGCTGGTATTCGCTAGGCAGGGAATTGTTTCTGTTTTATAAGGCAGTAGGTTTTTTCTACCCCCTTCTGGTGACTTCTCTTGAAGGACTAATCCAGGAGTGTTTAGGATATTATCCACGAAAAAGAAAAGACTTCAGGAGAGCCAAAATTATTGAAGAATTAGCCTTCTGAGAACTCAAGACCTAGCCACTCTTTAAAAACAAAGCTCTCCTAATGCCAATGAAGAAAGGATTACCTTCTCAGAAGCTTCTCAGCCAAAACCAGCTTTGAAAATAGAGTAGCTTAAGAGCGAGCATCACCGCCTCACTTGTCTCTGAGCCCTGTTCCAGAACCAGCCCGGCTCAGGTAATGGCTTTCCATTGTTTGTAAAAGAAAAGGCAGGAAAAGTACACAGCCTTGTCCAAGTTTCTCTTCTGTAAACTGAAAATAGAAATTTCCCTTGTGAACCCAGTTTAAACATGGGGATGTCTCAATATAAAATGAGTTGGAAAATATTTTTAAGGTGAAAGATCACAATAATGTTTGGCCTGCATTTTCCATAACTGATATTTTCGGTCACAGTTTAATATACTTTTTGACCTCTAAGTGACTTCCTCCACAAAGTTACATTTTTTGTGCCACATGTCATTTTGTTCAGTAGAAAAAGCTGTTGTCCTATCTCATACCACCTACTTTTTTGATACATTTCTGAATGGTGAATAAATAATAGGAAATCTTGAGATGTGCTGATCCTGGAATTAAACTAAAGACCTCATTTGGGCTTCAGGACCCAGTGGTTAAGGACACCATCCCCACCATTCTTGCCAGTTTCACATCCATCAAGTGGCTCCCTCAGCTGTGGTAGCTCTTTAGAGACACAGAGAGGGAGTAGAATGAAACTATCTTATTTTTTCCAGGATTAGAACCCTCGGAGAAATATAACTCGGGTCTTATTAGATTTTTGGACACTTTCCAACTGAATATTTTGGGATAAAGAATGACATAAATCTTTTTCTGGTGTCACTCCCCAGGCTCTTGGTTCTGCATCTTACCCCACAAAACCCAGGCCGCCTTTGTGCATATGTGTGCGCATGTGCAGGCAGGCCCGACTCCAGAAGGAGGGGTGCAAGGCTGCTTATCCAGACGTTTTGGGGGTCCAGGGCATCAGATTTATTTGAGGCAGTCATTCTTCCCATTCTCCTTAGGAATGCCAAATCCATTCACTTACTTGCCCTTCATACGCCTTCCCCTCCCCAATCCCACCACCGGGAGGGTGGTAATTGCAACAAACTGAGGGGCTTCATTTCCTGCTCAGCCCTCTTGCTGCCTCTGTCCCCCACCCCAGCCCCGTGCCGCCCTGTGTCAGGTTACCACACACCTGTTCTAGTTCTCACCCTTTCTTTACATTCAGTGTTTGCTGGAATCATCCCCTTCTGGGATGCCCCTTACCTTTTCCTAAGCACTTCTGTGACTCAAATAGAATTATTCAGTAGCTCTTCTAAAGAAGTACCTGACACACTTGATTAAAAGCCCAAAGAGGTTTCCGTGAATTTCTTTTCCTCCTGCTTGAGCAGCGTCTGCCAGTTTCCCTGATTTTGCTGCTAATTATCTTCGTATTAGCCAGAATTCATTTAACATGTTATGGCTCCAATAAGACCGAGCGCTGGCTGAGGAAATAGTGGATATTGGATTCCCTTGAATAGTGTATATATCCTCAATCTACATTCTTATTTAGAAATGGGTTTTTGTTTTTAGAACAACAGAAGTGTAAATCAGAGGTGCTGAATTTGCTTCTGCCACGGCTCCATACCGAAAGTAGGGCCCGCTGCATTCTCTCTTATACTGCAGCTCTTCCCTCTCTACAATTACATGTGGTCAAGACCTTGACCTTTAGGGGTGAGACAGCAAATTCATATTCTAGCTCTGCCACCTGGTAACTCAGTGCCTTTGGGCAAGTTTATTTAACTTCCTTAAGCCTTAGTTTCCTCATCTATACAATGAGAAAGATACCTCTCTGATGGGATTGAGACTAATCATGATAACATACCAAAAGGGTTTAACAGAGTAACTGGAACATAATCACTCAATAAATGATAGTGGTTGTTATTATTACGATTATCATTGAAAAAATTATAATTGTTTTTGCACTTCACAAAAGCATTGGTAGATTCAAATCTTAATACTCATGTGTATAAATAGAGAAAGAAACTGAATGTAAAAATCTCCATTACTCAGAGTTTAAAGAGAACACAAAATCATTGGCTGTTTTCAGCATTTCCAGCGTCAGTTTGCTTCAGTACAAATTTATTAATCCTGCTAATCTCAAGGATTGCAGAGAGATAACACAAACATAAATTTGCACACGCATGAACGCATACACAGCCTATATATATGTATATATATAAGGCGTTTATTACATTTTAGAATATAGTATAATAAATTATGTGGTAGGTGGAGGAAAATGAATCCCTTAGACTGACTCATTTTGAGAGAGATTTCTCCAAAGCACAAAATCTAAATGTTACAGTTTGGCGAGTACCTGCCATTGTGGAGTAAGTGGTTTAGCCAGTGATTTGGATTTGGCCCTCGATTTTTTTTTTTTTTTTATGAGACCATTATTGAACCTTTGAAAATATGGTTGAATTCCCAGTTATTATCTTATAGAGCAGTTTATCAGAGATTGAAGGTGCAAAAGAGTTTTGACCTATAAAATCTAGTTTGTGGTGTTACATGAGAATTCTGTTAATTTACAAGATAAAGTTAAATCACTGAGGCCCACTGGTTTCATAAACTTTTAAGCCTGGCTCTAGACATTCTAATTCCTAAACCAGATTTTTTGTTTTTAATATAAAAAAAGAACAGCAACAACAACAACTAAAAAATATATATATATATAAAATATATGGAAGAAGTCCTCTGCATGAATATATACATTTTGCCCAAGTTTCTACAGATGGAGTTGGTTGTGCCTGGTAACTGGATACAGTTAAATGTTAAAGTTTCAGTAATATACCAAAAATATGAAGTACAAGAATAAAAATTCCATTTTCTTTTTGTTCCAGGTTCTCTGGGAGATGCTAACAAGGGAGGCCCCCTTTAAAGGTCTGGAAGGATTACAAGTAGCTTGGCTTGTAGTGGAAAAAAACGAGGTAAGACTGCGATCCTCCATTCAGGTACATAGATCAGAAAACAGTATTGGGGTTTTGCAAAAGACTTTTTCATCTTCTTCAAATTGAAAGTAAGTTCACGCTTATGGAAAGATTAGCAGTAGGAGCTAACACAAAGGGTCAAAGTGATGTTATTCCTCATGAATGGACCCTTTACATCTAATTGTTGCAGCTTCACGTCGTGATGCTGTAGATCAAAAATTGTACAAGTACTGTACTAGTTTCTCAGTCTCAATTGTAAAACCTAGGGGTTTGTTCTTAGTGATGAAAGAAGCCATTGCGTCCAAGGTAGGGGAACAGTTTTAACTCCATCTCCTGCGTTTAGGACATCTTTTTTACTGTCCGGGAGTTGGTATATCTGTAAGAGACCTTCAGCTACTTCAACTTACCTCTCCCAGCAGGAGTCACTATAGTACAAGAAACTGTCGCTTAGATGAGAATTTCAAAAATAAAAGAAGAAAAAATAGTTTCAAAAAAGGGAAAAATTACAGTTTTGCCACCTACGTTGAACACTACATTGAAGATGAGCTCCTCACTGGAATTGGCGAGGCAGTGGCATAACTGTTCCCTTCTTCATGCAGAGCCTTTCCATTTCAAAAGAACTTCAGTGGCGTAAACACCGTTTGTGCTGTGTCCCCAGCCTCGCTTTTCTTCTTCCCACAAATTGAGGCTTTCCGTTAGTTGGACCCATGAGCCAACATCAGAGAACATGGTACATTCATATCAAAGACAGCAAATACATTTTGAAAGGTTTAAAATTGTGACTGAAACGCACAGCCATGGAAATTCTCAGCATAAGGATGAAGCATCCATTATCAAGGTATTATGAGAAGTTAGATCAAGTAATGGAAGCATGCAGTTGTCTTTGCAAGGCTGCAAAACAACTTTATTTCACAAAACTTCTTCATTTCCACATCTTATCTGTGCCCTTCACAAAAGGGAAGGGTGCAGGCTTAGGGTAAAATAATTTGCAAAACGGTGAATATGTAGCAATATTCCCTTTTTAACGCTTTAAAAGAATTAGATTGATCCGCTCCCCACGTGAGTGCAGGAGCAAACTAGATCAATCAAAAAGCTGCTATTGACTGAGAGAAACCAAGTTTCCATATTTTAGATCACATAATTCATGGTTACCTTATTAATTTGTCCTCCTGAGCCATTGAGAATGGATGAAATGTTCATGATAGCTGAACTTGATGGGAGAGAGCTGCCAATTTAAGAAAAATAAAAAGGTGTTATATTCAAGAATGTGTCTTACTCATTGTTTCACAGAGGCTGTTCTGTTTTAATTAAATGGGATGGTTATTCCTGGTGTGCTATTAAATCAGACCTCACACACAAGGTAACTGATTATCTCATGGTATGAGAACCCACTTGATTCTGTTCAGTTTCTTTTGCCAGTGAGATGATTAGACGTGTAGTTCTGGGTTGACAAATAGAGTGAAGAAGATTATTGACCTTCTGTTGACTTTGGAGCAGAACACTCAATGTCATTTTTTCCCTCTGTATCGTTTCAAGATAAACTAGGAGGAAATTTTTTTTAAAAGCTGACTGGACCCTCCAAATATGTATAAGACAGATTAATTAATATTTTAAAATATTTCATTTAAAGGAGGGCAGAAAAGGTGTGAATCTAAAGCACTTTAAAAACAAAGAGAAAAATGAATTTAGAAGCTGCCTTTGAGTAGCTGACTTGAGGGTTGAGAGTCCCCCATAAATAACCTTCAGAATCTCCTCAGCAGGCTACATGAGGAGGCCGTCTCCCCCTTTCTCCCCAGGAATCCCCTAAAGTAGAGTGTCCGTGGTGTGATCTCATGATCAGCTAATAACAGATGGAGACTCTTCAAATGCCTCGCATACTATATTTATTAAATGAAATAGTCATTTGAAAGAAACCCACACGGTGAAGTAATTTTTCTCAACTTTCTAATGAACCTAATGAAAATTGGGTATTAACAAGGATATTTGTTTGTCTGTTCTCATTCTGCATATTTATTTCATTTATCAGAATATGGAAATTAAGTTGAAATGTAGTTTCCATTGTCATCATTCAAGAAAATGTCTTCATTCTACCTCATAAATGGAGGCACTTATTACCAAAACAAATTCTGTTGAGATAGCATTAAAATAATTCCCAAGGATTTATTTTATTTTACAATAAAATTGAGACTTTGACTTAAATACAATTTGTAAAAGTCCCTTCAAATTCCAGTTATTTTAATTTAGTTATTTTTACTCTGGAATACCTTGCGCTACTGAGTTGAAAAGAGAAAGCTATAGTTTTTTTTAAGAGGCCTCATTGAAATAAAGGATGACATGTTTAAACTTTCAGAGAGACATTTTAAATGTGAGCTAGTCACACTAGAATGCTAGTCATCCTAGACTCATAGGAAGCTGCAAAAATATTACAAAGAATTCTGTGTACCCTTCACCCTGCTTCCCCCACTGGTGAGACATAGGTATAGTATAGTATGAAAACCAGAAAATTGACACTGATACATTACTGTTAACCAGACTCTAGACCTTATTTGGTTTCACCATTTAGGATTACTTTTTGCATCTATAGGAAGATCGATACTTTCTAAAAATTATATCTGAAGACCTTTAATTCCAAACCCTTAATAATGAAATAAGGTCTTCAATCATTTTTCCTATTATTAAATCCTATTGAAACTAGAATCCATAAAACACTGTTAAACTTTACAAAGCAAACAGTGGACTCATAGAAAGCATGAAATTAAGAGGGTATTACTAATAAATTTTAAAAACCTTACAGATGTGTCTATCTGCCTTTGTAATTTCCATAAAACTCAATTAGTAGTCATTCAGAGTGTTCTGGCATTATAATTCCTATCTTTATAAATGCTTAAATATGTTTTATTCTAAGTAGCAAAATTACTATTCTTTGTTAACATAGAAATCCTCAAAAACTTAATCCATTGTTCTTGACTACACTTTAAAAAAAGATAATGAACTTGACTTAAAAAATAATTATTGCATCTTATGTTGAAAATGGTGCAAAAAAGAATATGATCTTTTTAAAAAATATCATGCCTAATTTAGTGATTAGGAAATATTTTAATTTTAAATTTGAAACTGTTTTACTTTAAAATATTTAAGTTTTAAGTAGTGTTGCAAACCTGGTGCTAATATCTGGTTATTTCAGGATGTTTTAATGAATTAGGAATGCCCACAGTTATGTAATCAGGACTTAAATATTTTAGATTCTCTTTTAAAGTACTTTTTAGTGTACCAAAATAATCCGTTACATGAAGTGTCTGAGTCTAGATTTAACTGATCTTTGACCATCTCAGATAATTTAAAATAATTATGTCTCCTTTTATAATGTCTTACATGTGGTATCTAAAAAGTTTGTCAGTAAGAAAAGATCAACATCCATATTCAGCCAGTTCACATTTCAGTTCTTGGGAAAATGTTGTGCTAAAGTTATGTTGAAAATGTTACCTTTTATGAAAACTTATTTTTCATTACACATGGAGTACATTCAGTCACATAATTGCAGTCACTGTTTTTATTAGTTGCCATCCCCAACCATCTTACTTTTTTTTTAAGTAAACACATGATTTTCCTTTTGACCTTCATCAAAAGGTTTCCAGTTTGCATTACAGTAAAATAATAGTACCATTTACTACATCTTGCTCTATTCTATGAAATCACAAGACCAGAAGTTGAAAAATGCTTAGTGTAGCCTCTAAGTTGGAGAGTTGTTTTTTTGTTTTTTTACTTTGCTTTAAAGTTTTATTTTTTTTGGCTTATTTTTATTTTAATTCCAAATATAGATTGTCTGTTTTCTTGCCAAGGCAACTGTTTTTCTAGTTTTATACGTAGCCTCCCCCAAATCCAACTAAATTGTTTTGTTTTTTATTTGCAAAACTTCTTGGCAAAAAATACTGTAAAATAAATCTTCTTAGTAAAGAGGTTCTCAGCTCTATCACATCCAATGCTCTCTTTATAACAACTATGTTAATGCTTCGTCTTCTTTCCTGAAATGAAATTCGGAGGTAGTACAACATTGTATTTTAAGTCAACATGATGCTCTAAATGTAATATAAGGAAGAAGTAAATATGTATTGCAATGTGTAAATGCTCAGGCATAACAACAGTAGAGGTGATGATGGAAGTTTTAGATGCTTCCACCTATGGATAAATAGAATTCAACAGCTACAAATGCAGAGTAGAAATGGGTTGTATTAATGATTCCAGTACCATGAGCAACACTGTTGTAGGCAACATTTTCCCAAAATCTTGGTAAGGTTATGAATAATGCAAAAATCAATCTGCCCTTGATTTATTTTATTTAGTAGTTGCATTCATAGAATGTTCAGTGTATTTTTAAAATATCTTTAAAAATACTCTATTTATAAATCAGATTCTAAGGCTCAGAAAATTATAAGCCTCATTGTTTTCTTGTTTTACTCACATGAATGCACCTGGGGCATTTGAAGTTTGGTGGAATGCAGGAGAATTTTTAATCAGGGCTTTACTATATATCGAAAGATGGCCAGCATTCTTGACCTGCTCCAGGTGCAACCCTCCAGACTTTAAAACAAAAATGTCTCTGTAGGGCTTCCCTGGTGGCGCAGTGGTTGAGAGTCCGCCTGCCGATGCAGGGGACACGGGTTCGTGCCCCGGTCCGGGAAGATCCCACATGCCGCGGAGTGGCTGGGCCCGTGAGCCATGGCTGCTGAGCCTGTGCGTCCGGAGCCTGTGCTCCGCAATGGGGCAAACAAACAAACAAACAAACAAACAAACAAAAATGTCTCTGTAGATCTGTAAACTGCCCCTGGGGGCATTACATGTCCTGTGAGAACCACTGCTGTACAATGTTAGAACAAGACTAATCCTCACATAATCTGTACTATCAAGTCCTTATAATTTGTGCATTTGACCAAAACTAAGCCATGAGTCATCCATTCAGAATGTCTCATTTGCTGCTGAGAGAATGCACACTTCTTTAAAATTATCTCTGTGCTCAAGATGTTTTCAGAAGTTGTACACTATTGCCAAAGCTGAACTGTTTTCCTAGTTACCTGGCCTGTTTGCATATCTCATAGTTGTCTATAAAAATACAGTGATAGATGTGTGGTTTAGATTTAGTATTTAAGTTCCAACTTGCCCCTCTCGTACTGGTTTCTTTTAGACTTGATTCTATATTTTGTTGCACTTGTTGTGCTGAACCCTATTTCTTCATCCACTGTGATTCCTCTTTGGAGGAAAATGGTAAAGTGTCTTTAGAGATTAGATGCTATGAACCTAAATGTAAATTCTCACCAGTCGCATATTAATCAATGCAAGTTTTAAATTTTATGTCTTGTTTATGCTACTAAATTAACTCTTTTTACCTTTCAATTAGAATTTCCTTCCTTTAGTGAGAAAATCCTTGTGTTTTGTTTTGATTTATTTTTTTCTTTCCCTGTTACAGAGATTAACCATTCCAAGCAGTTGCCCGAAGAGTTTTGCTGAACTGTTACATCAGTGTTGGGAAGCTGATGCCAAGGTACACACACACACACACACACACACACACATATATATATATTTTGTTGTTGTTGTTGTTGTTCTGAAATTTCACTTGTTTGTTTGGCTTTGACTTTTTAAAACTTGGGGTAATAAAATTCATTACAAAGCAAAACTGGGTTGCTGTTCTTCCGAGCCCCAGATTGACTGTGAAGGCTTTCTGTTGACATCTACTTGTCTTGATTCCCTAGAAATCATTACTGGGTCTTTCTTACAGCACTCTGGCATTCTTGAGTCAATAGAAAAGAATTTTGTTACCTTGTTTTTAATCTTTAATAGTAACTGTTGCACCTCCATGTTATACAGATGCTAGCACACGGTGCTTATTGTAAGCCAGGAACTGCTCCAAGCACTTTATGTATGTTAACTCATTTATTCCTCAGAGTATCTCTGTGAACTAGGTAGTGTTATTATCCTCATTTTACACATGGACACAGAGGTTAATTAGTGAGCTCAAGACCACACAGCTAGTAAGTGGTGGAGCTGGAGGATGAAGCCAAACCAGCCGACATAAGTCCCTGTGCTTAACCACTACACCATATTGCCTTTCTAGCCAAACACCAGGCAAAGGTAGCACTTCTAGAGAATCTTGATACACACTCCCTGTGGAGTTTCAGTGATGTTTTTTAAGCTATCACAATAGAGTTGGAGAAATTCCAAAAATTAAGGCTTTCATGTGGTTATCCCATTCGAGCATTAATGGCTCATTTCCTTTCCCCGCAAAGATCTGTTTAAAAGACTCTTACAGGGCTTCCCTGGTGGCGCAGTGGTTGAGAGTCCACCTGCCAATGCAGGGGACACGGGTTCGTGCCCCGGTCCGGGAAGATCCCACGTGCTGCGGAGCGGCTGGGCCCGTGAGCCGTGGCCGCTGAGCCTGCGCATCCGGAGCCTGTGCTCCGCAACGGGAGAGGCCACAACAGTGAGAGGCCCGCGTACCGCAAAAAAAAAAAAAAAGACCCTTTACATACATAAAGAAATGTTTATAGGTAAAATGACAGGCGAGTCTCAGATTTGCTTCAAAATAAAGTGAAGGGAAATGGATGATGGTATAGATTAAATACCGTCATCCATGATAATTTTTGAAGTGATAGGTATATAGAGGGTCATTATACTGTTCTCTGTACTTTCTCGTATGTTTGGAATTTTCCATAATAAAAAGATAAAAATTAAAAAGATCCTCACAGATTAAATATTGGAATAAGAGAGAGACACTCAAGGGACTTCCCTGGTAGTCCATTGGGTAAGACACTGCGTGCCCAATACAGGGTGCCGGGGTTCGATCCCTGGTCGGGGAACTAGATCCCGCATGTGTGCTGCAACTAAGAGTCCGCATGCCGCAACTAAAAGATCCCGCATGCCGCAGCTAAGGATCCTACGTGCTGCAACGAAGGTCCCTCGTGCTGCAACCAAGACCCAGTGTAGCCAAAAATAAATAAATAAATATTTTAAAAATAATAATAATAGGGAGCTTCCCTGGTGGTGCAGTGGTTAAGAATCCGCCTGCAAATGCAGGGGACACGGGTTCAAGCCCTGGTCCAGGAAGATCCCACATGCTGCGGAGCAACTAAGCCCTTGCGCCACAACTACTGAGGCTGCACTCTACAGCCTGCGAGCCACAACTACTGAGCCCACGTGCCACAACTACTGAAACCCGTGTGCCTAGAGCCTATGCTCTGCAATGAGAGAAGCCACAATGAGAATCCCACGCACCACAACGAAGAGTAGCCCCCGCTCACTTCATCTAGAGAAAGCCCGCGTGCAGCAACAAAGACCCAACGCAGCCAAAAATAATTAATTAATTAAAATAATAATAATAAAAGAGATACTCTCAAGAAAGGAACTAAAATTTTATAGTTCAAATTTGTCCGGTTTTTCATGGAAATAGGTGTATTACAAACTGACCTTTTAAATAGAGATCTAAAAAGAAAGATTTAAGAATGGAATTTCTCCCTTAATTTAAATGCAGTTCCTGTATGACCCCCAAGAAGAATGAATGATGGTAACATATACAGCAGTTCCTCGGTATGGGGTGGGGGTGGGGGGGATAGTTGGTTCCAGGACCCCAGTGGAATCCACGGATGCTCAAGTCCCGTATATCAAATGGCGTCGTTGAGTCAGGAACCCCCCCGACCGTCCTCGGGTTCAATAGCCTGTTCGAACTTGGGTTGATTGAATTCACCAATACGGAAACGTGCGTTTTGTCTAGTGGGAGTAACTCGTAGCACTTGGTGAGTATGGGGATTGTGTTAGTGTCAGGCAGAATTCATGCTGAATCATGAGTAGTGGTTTTCAGCACACTGCTCCACACCACAAGCGAGAACAGCCGAGCACCAAGCACAGTAGTGCAGCCAGTAGCACAGCAAGGGACACGGACCGGAGAGGCCCCTCTGCCCCACGTGCTCCCTGTTGGCTGGGATGAGCGGTGCTTTGTCTTGGAAGAGTTTGTTGCTGGTTCTCCCCAGCCTTGTGCGTTTCACCTTTGGCCTGGTGAACCAGCAGCCTCCATCTGCTTTCACTCCCGTTCACCCTTTTTTAAAGAGTCCTACATTTATTTAGTATTGTTTTTTATTAAGGAATTTAACAGTTTTTAAACTGTTAGTATTTTTATTTAGGTTTATTATTGTTTCATTAGTTTTTTTATGACAAAGTTGATAGGTTTTGAATGGTCTGTCCTGCCCCTGTGTAGGCCTTATTTTAGTGTGTGATTTTTTAGAATATGGGGATTTTTAAGCATTAAGAGAAATGCCTGCACTTTGCAACTAATCCAGTGGAAACTGTAAGTGGCTATTTGCAAGCTTTCTGTAGAACATTTATTTTATACTATTAAAATACTACCCTTTTCATACTCTACCACTTGTATGTCCGTTGTGGCCCAGTTGGTAATTTTTGTAGTATTTTTCTCTCTGATGCTCAAGTAGAAATTTCACCTGAAGTTATGTGTGCCGAATTAGATGAATGCAACTAGATCTCTGTAATTTTAATTATATTTCAGTATGCAAAGCAGGTTTTGAGTTTCTTAATCAGAAACTCTGTTAATTAAAATTCTAAGAATATACATTTATGGTGTATTAATTAAACGATAGTGTAAATACCTACACAACAAGGACATTAGGTCCAGAGTTGATGCCATGAAGTTGGCATGTCTCTATTGAACATGTAGTAAGCTGACCCTTTTTTAGGGTCAGAGGAATCTTGTGTTCTAGCCCCGTGAAGTATGAAGAATGTTTGAGATCAATTTTTATTTCCTAAATTCGTGGCATTTTATTCTGATACAAATAATATATGCCCTCTATATTTGATTTGATTATGCATCCAGCTCACATTTCTAACTCTCTCATTGCTCTCTCCTCTAGACACACCTTACACACCTTCTTTATTCCCTGAACATGTTCTTTTCCTTCTTTTCTTTTCTCCCCTGATTACTTCACCATCAAGCCTTCCCTGGTTATTCTGTTTACCCCTGTCCATACTAACTACTTCTCTTCCAAAACCATAATCTGAGCTACTGCCTCATCTTGTGCTGTTGCATTTTTTAAAATATCTTTTCTTCCTAAATGGATTACAGGCTCCATGAGGGAATAGAGCTAGCTTTTCTTTGTTTCCCTATAGCATCTTCCGTAAATTTAGTAAGCAGATGTACAATTTTTTGTTGACTCAAGTGGCCAGAGCAAGGTTTATTTCCTGAGAAGCACATTTTAGTTCTCTGGCTAGAAGTATATAGCAACTCAACCAGGAGTTGGTGCCAGTCCTATGCCCATAGATAGAGCAATAGTTGGTTAAAATATATTTTATTTCTTTTTTTTTCAGTCCTTAGGCTCTAGAGTATTAACACATAGATTAAAATATTCAGCTCACCTATAGAAATATATTCTTTTGCAATGAGGAGGTAGAAATGTATACAAGAGAAAGCTGCTATTAGGTAAATAAATGTTAGATCATTCCAGTGGCTTCCACCAGGTGTTCAAAAAATTTTTTTTGAAGAAAAGAAGGAAGTAAAGGTGGGTATTGGTTCAAGTTCTAAAATGATATTTCTAAAGGAGAAAAAAATAATAGTTAAAGCCCTGAGTTTGATAGGAAGTAATGTCTTACCGTCATGTGATAAAGCATTTTGAAGTGTTTAAGAGCATAGACCCTGGTTGTGTAACTTGCTTCCTGTGTGATACTGGGCAATTCATACTTTTCTGAGACTGATCTTCCTTATCTATAAAACAAAAATAACAAATAATGTATACAGATGCTTAATAAATTGTTCTGGTTGTGCCTTTTTAAGTAAGCAAAGCCTACATAATACATAAAAGGAACCTAAACCGCTTCGGAGGAAGATCCTAGACCAAATGCCGTATTCTGTAACCAGAATACTCATTAATTATTAACACAAAATTCTACATTGTTGCTACCTTCTAAATGTTCACTTTGATAATTTCCATCTGAGAGCATATTCTAACTATAAAATTAAGATTTTTTCAGGGATACTTGCCATCCAATTGCAAAAAGTTTTACCTTAAGAATTATTAAGTGGGGCTTCCCTGGTGGTGCAGTGGTTGAGAGTCCGCCTGCCGATGCAGGGGACACGGGTTTGTGCCCCGGTCCGGGAGGATCCCACATGCCGCAGAGCGGCTAGGCCCGTGAGCCATGGCCGCTGAGCCTGCGCGTCCGGAGCCTGTGCTCCGCAACGGGAGAGGCCACAACGGTGAGATGCCCGCGTACCGCAAAAAAAAAAGAATGATTAAGTGTAGGGAACAATATTATTCTTTGAAAATTTGTCAGCTCCTCCTGCTGCTTTTCCATGAAAAATGAAAATCCTATATTTATTATATAATTAGTCCCTGTACAAACAATTAAAACATTTTTCCTTTTGCAACCTTGACACATGGTGGGAGAAATTAAAATGGGAACAAATTCAAAGAAGACAAACAGAATTTTTTCAAATTTCCTACTTAAGGCACTTTTCTCTTTGCTTATTACAAGGCTTAATGTACAATCAGTGACATTTAGCTACTTACGCCCTCTTTTAAAACACACACACCCACACATACACACACACACCCTTGAAAGAGAACAATAATGGGAGAACTCAGAATAAATATCCCAGTTTTATATTCCTAAGAAAAATTGCTTTTCTTAATGTAGGAAGCGCTCAAGTCCTGAGAGCAAGCCATCTCAACATTCTTCCTTCTTGTTTTTGTGCTCCTAAATTAAAATGCATGTTTTAATTGCTGCAACGGTAATTTGTTCAGAAATGGTATAATTATGAGGTGTGATGAAGAGAGAATGTACATCATCCTTTTATTTTTCTCCATTTTTGTTTAAACCTTTTGTCTCAATCTTGGCTAGAGTCTAAAGAGAGAGACTAGGGTAGTTTTTGCTAGCTAAAGAAATACATCTAACCACTCCTTTTTCAATTTCTAGTAAACAGTACCTGAGAGTTTCCCAGCATCAAAACTAATTTTGATGTGGAATAAACATTGAGAACAGTGAAGTTATGATGGCTTTAAAATTGGGGAATTTTTCTCTGAGCAACTGGTTTAGGAAATTTTATAAGTTCTGCTAGATTAATAAGTAGATTTCCCCCAACATTTTATTATAAAAATTTTCAAACATATGGAAAAGTTGAAAGAATTTTACAGTAAACACTGGTATACCCATTGCCCAAACTCTACTGTTAACTTTTACTGTACTTGCTTTATCACAAAGATTTTTTTAAATAAATTTATTTATTTGTTTATTTTTGGCTGTGTTGGGTCTTCTTTTCTGCACGCGGGTTTTCTCTAGTTGCAGTGAGTGGGAGGCTACTTGCGGTGTGCAGGCTTCTCATCGTGGTGGCTTCTCTTGTTGCAGAGCACGGGCTCTGAGCGTGTGGGCTTCAGTAGTTGTGGCTCATGGGCTGGAGCGCAGGCTCAGTAGTTGTGGCACACGGGCTTAGTTGCTCCGCGACATGTGGGATCTCCCCGGACCAGGGTTCGAACCCGTGTCTCCTGCATTGGCAGGTGGACTCTTAACCACTGCACCACCAGGGAAGCTTCTATCACATAGCTTTCTTTTTTTGGCTGCGTTGGGTCTTCGTTGCTGCACGTGGGCTTTCTCTAGTTGCGGTGAGTGAGGGCTACTCTTCATTGCGGTGCACGAGCTTCTCATTGTGGTGGCTTCTCTTGTTGCAGAGCACAGGCTCTAGGCGTGCGGGCTTCAGTAGTTGTGGCACGCAGGCTCAGTAGTTGTGGCTTGTGGGCTCTAGAGCACAGGCTCAGTAGTTGTGGCGCACAGGCTTAGTTGCTCCGTGGCATGGGGGATCTTCCCGGACCAGGGCTCGAACCCGTGTCCCCTGCACTGGCAGGAGGATTCTTAACCACTGCGCCACCAGGGAAGTCCTATCACATAGATTTTTAAAAGACTTAACTTTTTCCTTTTAGGAGTCCTTAATCATACCCAAAAGAGACAATTAGTTAGTACTTTCCTTACCTGCAAAAATACTATAATCATTCCAACCTTAGGCCACACAATAGAAAAATGACATCTGAGTCTATTATGAATAACTGGTTGAAAATAAGAAGTATGGTTCCCTAAACCTGAGCAGCCTGACGGTTGTAAAATAACTAAATCGGGACATTACATCATATTTTATTTTGTTTTATATAGTAATAAGGTAACTTGACCTTATTACTATACCTGTGGGTTTTCTCTTAAAGATCTACTTTCTTGCATCCCAACAAGTGATTATTTTTTCTCCTTCAGAAACGGCCGTCTTTCAAGCAAATCATTTCAATCCTGGAGTCCATGTCGCACGACACGAACCTTCCTGACCAGTGTAACTCATTCCTGCACAATAAGGCAGAGTGGAGGTAGGTGCCTCGCATCCGAGTCACATCATCTGACTTTAAGGGATCATGAGTGGCTTCAGCCAGGAACAGAACCTGGAAACTTGATGACAGTCCTGATTCCTTAGAAATTGGGGCTTTTTTGTGTGTTTTTGTGTTAGAAAATTTTGGAGATCGAATAAGCCCTCCCTCTCATATGTAAGCAAAGAGTGTTCCTCTAAGTGATAAGAGTGTTGCTTTATCATATGTCTAAGCATTTAGAAAGCATATTAAAACAGTATCTTCTGAGATAAAAGACGGTTACCTGACATTCCTCTGTATGCACTCTGTGTTAGGAAACTTTGGCCTCTGTCCAGTGAGAAATAAAAATACTGTCTGCTTGGAAATATGCAGAGCACTGTATCTGTTGATGGAAGAGTTAAGGAGACTGTAAAAACACTTAAAAGAAATCTTTTGATGTTATAAATCCTATTAAATTTTTTCAGGTGTAAACAAACTTAGTAATGAGAGAATTGTATTGTGTGAGTGGAAGAAGTAAGCCCGAGATGAGACATTGGAGCCGGGTCACATGATGCACGAATATAAATAGCATGTTTGGAAGCTGACATAATTCCCCCCTGACTCAGCAGAGATTTAAGTAACTCATCTCTGCTCCTGTTAGCTATGGCAGTAACGTGACGCCTGGCGCCACCTGCCGATACCAAATGAATACTGCAGGCACTTAAAAAACGACAATCGTTTACTCCTGGGATGACACATTTCTTTGGGCTTTCTGTTTGGTGTTTTACAATAACCTTCTTTATTTTTTATTCTTTGGGAATCTCTAGGACCAGTGAGTTAAAATGAACTTTTACTTAGTGATACAAAAGTAATACTGTTTGCTGGAGTCTAGGTGTGTATGAGGGACTTTGTTCTGGGCTGAAATAATTAACAAAACAAAACATGTAAGTAATATTTGTTTCCTACAGTAAGAGATCAGCACAAATCTAATCAGATCACTCCCCTTTTAAATCAGTATAAGGGGCTCCCATTACTCTAGGACAAAGGCCAAAATACTTAAGATTCATGACACCCTCTGTGCTCTTGCCTCAGCAACCTCATCTTAAGAGCATCATTCTACCCCTTAATTTTTGACGTTGGTCCCTCAACACATGCATATTTCTCCCTCATACCTTGCAAATGCAGTATCTTCTGTATAAAATTCATCCCATTTCAGCGACACACCAGCCCTGATGCCCAAACCCAACTTAGCTCCTACTACTACTGCTTCAAATAGTAGCTGAAAAAAACTCCTTTAAGGAGGTGTTTCCTGACCCCAGACCAGCTGAGGTTCCACTTTATGTGCCCTGAGAGAATCTCCTTCATAGCTTCTACTGCAGTTGAAATTAATAAGTAGTTCTGCAATCTGTTGTTTAATAATGTGTGTCTCGCTGGCTAAAATGTAAGAGAGTCGGATCACCTCTTTTGTTCCTTGCTGTAACTGGAGCCTCTAGAACGTATCTTGAATACCGACGGCAGTTGCTCAACAGATATTTGGAGAAGGAAATACCACGGTGGTAATAATATTAAAAGACATCACAATATTACCAAAAGAATAGAAATATGTAAGTTAATTTGTTTGCTTAGACAAATGTGCTTCTTACATTCATTCATTCAGATATTCATTAAATCTCTGCTGGGGAAAGGTGTCCTTTAGTATTGGGCTCTGGCGATGAGCAGAACAGCCCCAGTGCACATGGAGTGTCAGTACTGGATTACTAAACACAAATATACGAATAACTTTCATTACCATTTTGATAAGTATTATGACAGAACATTACTGGACGTCTGAGTGTATATAACCGTGAAATCTAATCTAGTCTGAGGGTTTAATAAGGGGATTCTCTGAGGAACTGCTGTTTGATCTGTTGGCCAAAGGATTAGTAGGATTTTAATACTACTATTAATACCCATGAGATAGGGAGTCTTTGAAGTATGTCAACAAAATCAGAAAATAGGGGGAAAGTTGGTAAGTTTTCTATATAAAAATGTAAAACCTCCATAAGACCAAAAGCAATACCCACCATCAATAAATTTATAAGACAAATGCCATAGTGTTACAACTTTTTTCCTATATAATAGATCATCTGTTCTAAAAGTTTCTAGTCTCAGGACTCCATTACACTCTGAAAAATTATTGAGGACTCCAAAGGGCTTTTGTTTAAATGAGTTACATCTGTCAGTATTTACCACATTCAAAATTAGAACTGAGAAAAAAATTTAAATATGTAGTTATTGATTCGTTTAAAAGACAGTAATAAATCCTGCTTCTGCATTCAGCCTATGGTACTATCCCATGTCATGAAACCTGTGGAAAAGTCTGTACACTTATGAGAGAATGAGAGTAGAAAAGGTAAATCGTGTCTTAATGTTATACTGAAAACCAATTTAACCTTTGAAAAGCTCTCATGAGTCCCCAGATCACACTCTAAAACCACCACTTCTGTCTTTAAAATAACATTTTAATTAAAATATCATATTAAAGGGCCTGAAATGGCATTTCACAAAAAAAGAAGTCAAATGACCAATAAACATGTCAAAAGTATTCAACCTCATTTAGCAATCAAATCAAAGGGAACATAATTTATTCATCAGATTGGCAAAAATTTATATCATGAAAATATCCAGTGTTATAAACTTCCTCATACTTCGCTGGTGGGAAAATACTACCTTTTGGAGGACAGTTTGGCTATATAGATCAGACACCTCTCCCACTGCCATTTCATTCCTAAGAAAATAAACGGGAAGGTTGTGCAAGAATGTATGGACATTTGTTTATCACATCCTTTAGAATGATAAAACTGGAAATGAGCTTAAAGTGAAATAAAAGATTGATTTGGTTTTTTTGTGGCTTTTATGATTTAGAAAATTATGATATCCCCACACACAAAATAGTATGGAGCCTTTCATGATATTACAGATCTGATAAACGATTCAAAAATGGATGCTACGGTCCAGTACGTTCAGAATGATTCCATTTATCCTAAAATAAACACATATTTATGTATACATGTATGTGCACATAGAGAGAAGTATAAAAAGGTCAATGTTACGTATCATTGGGTAATGAGATTATGGGAAAGTGTTTTCTATGTGTATATCTTTATTTTGTATAATAAAGCTGGATTAGTTGAATAACAAATTTATTTTTTTTAATTCTTCAAGCTAAAAAGATGAGAGAAATAAAATTGGTAATACATTAATGTATTTTAGTAAAAGGCAAACAGTTGCCTAGGGGGCTTCCTCGTTGGCTGTCTTTCAGGAATTCGTTAATCCTGAGAGCTGGAGAAAGAATACATATCTTTACCTGAAGCACTAAACCACAGTTTGAGCGGCAGCAGAGCTGTTTTAATTGAACTTGGTAATTGGTTAAAAACGTGGGGAATAATAATAATATTAATTAGAGTAACAATAACGAACACAGCTGTCATTTATCAATTCTTAACCAGATGCTTGTAGTTTATTTGGATTATCTTTTTTAATCCACATAGCAACCCTAGCGTGTACATCACAGGTGCAAGAACCGAGACCTGGACAGGTTGGACAACCTGCTCAAGATTATACCATGTGAAACAGAACCAGCGCTGGCACCCAGGTGTTCTGATCCCACGGGCCTGCTGTGGCACACACGCTGTGCGGTGCTGTCCCTGAATTTGTGGCCAGTGTCATGCCCTCCACTGGATTCCCTTTTAGCAAAGAGAAGCATCACAGGGGCATGATGGTTTTTTTGTTTTTGTTTTTGTTTTGCGGTACGCCGGCTTCTCACTGTTGTGGCCTCTCCCGTTGCGGAGCACAGGCTCCGGACGCACAGGCTCAGCGGCCATGCTCACGGGCCCAGCCGCTCCGCGGCATGTGGGATCTTCCCGGACCGGGGCGCGAACCCGTGTCCCCTGCATTGGCAGGCGGACTCTCAACCACTGCGCCACCAGGGAAGCCGAAGGGCATGATGGTTTTAAGTGATGATTAGGGCAAAACAACTATCCCACTCAACGTGCCGAGTGTCCAAAAGAAGGAAATGTTTTGTCAGGTCATCTGGATATTTCAAAGGACAGCACATTCAGACCACTCCTCTCTTTCCCCTGACTTTTATCTGGTGTCTGAAACCATGCGTCTAGGGTCCAAAGTGTGTGTAGGAAGTTAACAAGTATCAGTGAAGTCGGACTCCCGTCCTGCTCTGGTGTTTCTGACAAATGCTTGTTTGCTGGTGGCGCTTCCTCTACACATAAACCAGATGGAACATCTAGTCTTAGAAACTTAAATGATTATTCTGAAAATTCTTTTTAAAACTAGGTTATTAAAAACCACATGAACTATGTCCTTTCCTTTTACCTAATAGGTGATAGGCAAGAAATCTAGTGTCAGACCTTTCCTTGTTCATCACATCTTCACCTTGTTTCTCCTCCTATTGACTTATTAGCAATAGTGGCCACGAGCATTAAGAACAGAAAATGTGTCATCCTCTTGGTCGTGTTTTCAATTCTCGTTGCCCTTTGTGATTGTCTGCAGCCCTGTGGTCACCTGCACTGAGTGAGCCTCATGTCGCTGTGATAGTGCATTCAGGGTCTCTGTCTCTTGGTAAGACATTCTGCTGGTTGCATTCTTCCTTGGTGATCAAAATATTCTTACTCTGGCACGCCTTCTTAAACACAAAACACAGAGGGCTTCCCTGGTGGCGCAGTGGTTGAGAGTTCGCCTGCCGATGCAGGGAACACGGGTTCGTGCCCCGGTCCAGGAAGATCCCACATGCCGCGGAGCGGCTGAGCCCGTGAGCCATGGCTGTTGAGCCTGCGCGTCTGGAGCCTGTGCTCCACAACGGGAGAGGCCACAGCAGTGAGAGGCCCGCGTACCGCAAAAAAACAAAAAAAACACAGAGATTTTAAAAACTAATCTTTGCAATTTGGATTTTAGCACAAATCATTTAATATATAACACTAAATGTAATATATATATTATCTATTTCTCATGTAATATATATATAACTGTTTTTATGAATTAATCTTTTATTTCAAAGTAAGTTTCTGTCTAGTAAAAGAAGATAATTATAGTTCATTGCCTGTTTTTGACATAGGGAAAATTTTCATCAACTTAAAACATATTAAACTATATTTTTAGAACAGGAGGGTTATATAAGGGCATCAGCCAATGCATTTGATGCGAAACAGTGCATCAAGAAAAACAGAGGGAACAGCCAGGGGAGCAACTGTCTTTGTGTTGCCATCTAGGTTTGGGTTACATCTCTTGTGGCGTAGGACCTGGACCACTGCTGTCAATATCCCGGGGCGTCTGGGAAAGCCTCGTTGGGGAGCATATTTACTCAGTCAGTTTTTGTTTTTCTGCGACAGCTCTCAGCTTACTTAGCTTTACTTAACTGTTGATGTATTTTCCAGAAGGGCTTAAAATCAGAGTGGGCTCCCAGAGCTGGAACTTGAGATGAATCCTTGGCTTAAATTACAAGTGAAATTGCATGCGTTGGCCATTTACCCTGATCAAAAAGAACACCAGTGAGCTCAGTCTCCCTGGCAAAAGAGTTGGGACTGGGCTTGGTGGAAGCACCACGTGGCAGCAGCCCCTGCCGTATCCCACTGAGTGTGCCCAGGCCCCTGCCGTATCCCACTGAGTGTGCCCAACTCTGCTGCCTCCTTTTCTCACCCTCTCATTTATTGAAGATGGCTCATTCTTTCCTTTTTGTTACAAAAGTTTTAACCTAAGGTTTTCTACACTGTGTTTTTTTTCCTTAGTCCTCCATTTGAAAAATAAAAACACTTATTTATAAATGGGCATAATACTTTGTCTGAAATATCAGGGATAAAATTTGGATTTTATGATACAGTCATCATTTTGAAAGATGGCTGATTTACTGCTTTTCCTTAGGGACTCTAGTGTGACTTGACTTACCTGGCTTTATCATTTTCAGATGGCACCAATAAAAGGGACGGGGTTGACAGCAGAGGCTTTTCCACTTACTTTCCTGCCTCCCTTGCTCTGAGGTACTTTGCAGACAGCCAGGGAAGTAAAACGAGGAGCCCAAGTCCAGAAACACCTCAGTAGCTGTTCTCGGAGTTGGGTTTTGCCAATTAATACCCAGAACCTTTTTGTTTTCCTTTATCTGCTCCTCATCTACAAGGGCATTGGGATAAGCTGTCCACTTATTCTGATTTTCCCTGGACATAAAAAAGCAGACTTTGGCTACATACAGTCATCAGCTTAGATCTGGGGGCATCTACCTTCTGTAGTCAAAGTCCCAACCAGGATCGCACAGTCGGACGTGTAGGTGTGTCCCAGGGGCACATGGGAGCAGCTGTTGGCTCAGCAGCTAATCTCCAACTGGCTTTTCTTTCCAGTCCCTTCCTTGTTCTGCGTCCTTCCCTCTGCGCCTTCGCTAACCCTTCCTTCCACCCTTCGCTCTGCTTCCTCTCCTCCTTTCTCTCTTCTTCCCTCCCTCCCTCTCGGTCTCTCCTTCTTTCTCTCAGTCTCTCATTACCGTTGCTTTTCTCACAGGCTCTTCAGAAACTGAAGGGGAAGAACTTCCAACTCTCAGAGCATAAATTTAGACTTAAACATGCTGACAGCCCTGAAGGAGAAAAAAACCTGCCCTGAGCCATCTTACCAATTTCAGTTTCTATAAAGCACAGGTCTCTGTAACTGGACATATTGTTCCAGGTGGTGAGGTTGGTCAGCCCATAGAGACTAAGGAGGGAACTAACTTGCTTTTAAAATTATTAGAGTTAAAAGGAACCTTAGAGTTCATCTGGCCCAGGATTCCCACACTTGCCTGATTGTCAAAAAACGACCTGGCTCTTCTTTCAGATAATGGAGATTCCTAAGCCTACCCAGCCCTACTGAATCCTGAGCTCTGAGGAAGGGTCCTAGGAATCTATGTTTTGTTGTATGTTTTGCCCAGGTAATTATTAGGATCAGGCAACTTGTGGAGCCCTGATAGAAGATAACTACCACCCCGTACAACTGAGGAGACTGAGTCAAGTTAATCAGTCAGTTACTTGAGCTACTCAGCAAATAGGCTAAGGTGAACTTACTAGTGGTATGACAGTGACCATATAACTGGAGTGTCATTTTCCCATCTCTCTCTTTGTGAGATTAGTACCTGTTTCTTGGGGCTGTAATGAGAATAAGATGAGATAATATATAATAGAGCCAGATGACCGTAAGCATTTTTTTTTTTTGGCTGCACCGTGCGGCTTGTGGGATCTTAGTTCCCCAACCAGGGATCAAACCTGGGTCCACGGCAGTGAAAGCCCAAGTCTTTTTTCTTTTATAAATTTATTCTTACTTATTTATTTATTTTTGGCTGCGTTGGGTCTTTGTTGCTGCACGCGGGCTTTCTCTGGTTGCGGCGAGCGGGGGCTACTCTTGGTTGCGGTGCGCGGGCTTCTCGTTGCAGTGGCTTCTCTTGTTGCGGAGCACAGGCTGTAGGCGTGCGGGCTTCAGTAGTTGTGGCTCATGGGCTCTAGAGCGCAGGCTCAGTAATTGTGGCTCACAGGCTTAGTTGCTCCACGGCATGTGGGATCTTCCCAGACCAGGGCTCGAACCCGTGTCCCCTGCATTGGCAGGTGGATTCTTTTATTTATTTATTTATTTATTTATTTATTTATGGCTGTGTCGGGTCTTCGTTTCTGTGCGAGGGCTTTCTCTAGTTGCAGCGAGCGGGGGCCACTCTTCATTGTGGTGCGTGGACCTCTCACTATCGCGGCCTCTTTTGTCGCGGAGCACAAGCTCAAGACGCGCAGCCTCAGTAGTTGTGGCGCACAGGCTTAGTTGCTCCGCGGCATGTGGGATCTTCCCAGACCGGGGCACGAACCCGTGTCCCCTGCATTGGCAGGCAGATTCTCAACCACTACGCCACCAGGGAAGCCCGGCAGGTGGATTCTTAACCACTGCGCCACCAGGGAAGTCCCAAAAGCCCAAGTCTTAACCACTGGACTGCCAGGGAACTCCTTACCATAAGCATTTATTAAATGGCTAAACCAAGACACCAGCTCCATAGGTCAGGCCCCACCCAGTGGTTCTTCACTGCTTTGAGAAAGTATTCTGAGCTTATGTTTCCAAGCTAGAAACTACCTGTTGATTTTGAAGGATATGAAAGATCTCCTCTCCTCTGCTCATTTACTGTTTGGTTTCAAAGCACAGGTTTAGCCTTTTCCTTTGATTAAGCATTGTGATGGGCCCCTCAGCATGTAACACCGCTTCAGCAAAGTTGCGACTTAAACCAGTTATATCCCTGTGCAGGTGTGAAATTGAAGCAACTCTTGAGAGGCTGAAGAAACTAGAACGTGACCTCAGCTTTAAAGAGCAGGAGCTCAAAGAACGAGAAAGACGGCTAAAGATGTGGGAGCAAAAGCTGACGGAACAGTCCAACACCCCGGTGAGTGTTCCCTGCAGGGTTCACGGATCCCGTACTTAGGAGGCTGGCTGAGCATGGCAGCATGGCACCCCTCCCCCCTCGCCTGCTGCCTCCTCACTTCCTGCCTCGTGCCTCTACATTAAAGGATCCACATTTACACTCCCGTACCGCTCCTATCTCTTTTCAATTAACAAAATGCCAGAAATTTAGAAGGAAAGCTTAGCCTATTTCTGGCTCTTTCTCTGAGAACTGTTATTCTGTCAGTGTGTTTGTGTATTAGAATTACAAAAATAAAATTCAGTGTATTTTCACACCATCTGCTAGAGCCCCAGAGCCTGTGCCTCAAGGCTGATTAACTCTTTAGAGTCCGTCGGTAATTAATAAATGTTATACCAAGGAAGCTAGCTGTCTGAGAAAGTCGTTGATGTGTCAGAACTTAACCGAGCTTTCCTTCTAAAAGAGAGCTAACTTAATGACCTATAAATGACGAGAATTAATATTCCTTGGGTCACGATCATGGGCAGCAAAAGATTGGAAAAAGACTTCTCTCAGGACAAGCGTCCAGTATTTACTCCACCAAAAAATATACTGGTTTTTTTTCCAAGTCCTGTATTTGGACTAAGATAAAAATTCTTTGTAAGGATTTTGCTATTTATATACTTACCATGAGCTTATATGTTAACATGATATATTAAAATCTAGTCAAATTTCAGCATTCTTCCCTATTTTAAATAATTTATTATTTTAGGAATTAAGTATAAATTTATCATTGGCTTTTCCAGGGTTTTTAATGGGCAATATATGTCCACTTTAAGATCACAAGTAATAATAAGATTAAAAGTACACTTGTTATGTACTTTAAATTCATTTTTGATAGTTGCTATGGCGATTATACCAAAAAAAATTCTTAAATGCCCTTCACTTTGTGATCTTCAAAAAACTTTCCTGGGCTTCCCTGGTGGCGCAGTGGTTGAGAGTCCACCTGCCGATGCAGGGGACATGGGTTCGTGCCCCGGTCCGGGAGGATCCCACATGCCGCGGAGCGGCTGGGCCCGTGAGCCATGGCCGCTGAGCCTGCGCGTCCGGAGCCTGTGCTCCGCAAAGGGAGAGGCCACAACAGTGAGAGGCCCGCGTACGCAAAAAAAAAAAACTTTCCTATTTTTAAAAGTCTTAATCTCCATTTAGCAGCCAATGCCCAACTGCAAAATATTTTCCAGTGTCTAAAGAATAAAATAGTTTGCCTCCTTTTCCAATTTATGTGGAGAAATAACCTGATTTCCAAAAAAGGAAAATACAGTGAAGTTAAATGTTTATTATCCGATTTAACTTTTTCAAAAATGACTTTGGTTATCCAGGGAATCCCAAAGTAAGAACTGAATTGCTATGCATAAGACTGTCATGGGACATTAAAACAGTACCACATCTTATAAGTTCAGTGAATTTTAACTTGGCTCTCAAGGAGTTAAGGAAAGTTTCCTGTTCTGGTTGAATTGGTACCAAGAGGCAGACTCAGAAAGCATTACCTTAAGGATCTTCAAGGGAACACTGCTTCTCCCAGAGCTGATGAGAGGCAAAAATATGACCATCTTCTGAAGTCTGAGGGTTGTGGGGATTTTTTAAGTACATTGAAATCTTAAGCTATAAAGCACTGCATGGCTTGACTCTTTCTAAATGTAGCATTTTAAGAAAAAACTTTAAAGGACCCATTAAAGTATGCTTTAGAACCTTTCTTTAGATTACTGGCATTAGTTTTGCTAAGAAATTATGGGCTGCCTTGCACACATTATTGCTATTAGTAACGCAGTTGTATAATAAATGATGAAAAACTCTGAGTGCACAGTAGGTTGTATGCTTGCGTTTTAAATGCAGAAAACTCTCTGTAAAGGAACTGCTCTGAAGGCTACCATCTAACAATGGACAGCATGCAGCACGATCTCAATGAGATTTTCTTCCTTTTTTTTACTTATGAAGGCTAAGTTTTCTTTCTGTACAGAACTTGCTTTTAATGTCTCTTCTTCATAGAGCTGGTATTTCTGAAGGAAAGGTTTGTGCTCAGGTATTTTATAAGTAGATATTTTCTTTTATCCTCACATCAGTTTCTAGTTGACTTTAAATGAGGTTTTTGAGAGACTGATAGAATAAACCTTTTTTAAAAGGAAGCGACTGGAGGTTGAGGTTTTCTCTGTAGCCTCATCTTAATTATAAAAGTTTAATATTTAAGTAACGTCATAAAAAATTGTATTACTGCATTTATTTCAAGGAAGGACACTGCTTTCTTTCCTGAAATTAAAACATTAGTTAAAGATATTTGGGAAGGTGAATTTTCCATACACAAATATGAACAATGTTTATTTTTAATGATTGTTGTAGCTTGATGTAGAAATTTTACTTCTTTTAAAAATAATAGCTTATTTGAGAGGCACTTGTTGAGATCTTAACATAATGTGAGGAAAGACCTATGAAATAATAAAATAGATAAGCAGCAAAGAGATCCTGAGAGTATCTAACAATTGAAAACAAATTTGAGAGGCTGAGAAATTTGACTGCAAGGAAAGTAATAGCCCGTTTCCGGTGTTAAAGGATCTAAAACAATTTCTTTCTTCCATGTAACTTCTGCTTTTTAGTTGAATTATATGAAGTTCTGATTGAACTAATAACTGTAGAGGTCTTTTCCTAATGGAGTTAAGATAGATTTTTTTTAAAAAAAAACTTGATTCCAACTTTAATTTAAAAATTAGGAAATTGGTCCTAAAACGTACCTTTACATGCAGAATATGAAGGTCATCCCAGAATTATATTACTTTTTACCCTTATTTAAACAGCATCAAAATATAAGCCTTAATTTGCTTCTTTCTCAAAGGAAGAGGCAGTAACACTTTGAGATCCTAAGTTTTACCCCTGAAATGAACAACATTTATGGAAATAGGTTGACTGTTTAAAATAATTATGTAAGATTGAAAATAAATGTCTGTATCCGCTCTGAGAAGAATTCCTAGAAAAAAATTCTGCTAAAAGAAGGAAACTTGTAGAGAATAGAGACAAAGGTAACAATCTAAATTAATACTAGTTTCCTTTCCTCCCAATTTTCACATGTATTTACATACTTGTTTATAACTTAAATGTTAGAGACAATCTAGAATTTGTTTACAAGTGAATTATTTCATAAATTGGATAACAAGTATTATATCTGGCTGTAATAAATAATAAAGGGAGACAAGTGAATTCTAGACTGTTTATTAGTTTATAGATACTTAATCTAGCTAAAAAGGTAGCTAATGACCCAAATCTCCCAATTGACTGCTAAACTGTTTTTATGCTTCCTCTAAGCTTTTCTTCTTTGGTCCAGGGTTTCTTGTTTATTTTTTTTAACTCGAGATTTAATCTCTACTTAATTTCTCTTTTAATATAATAGTTAACTAAATGTTTCCATATGAAAGTCAAATTGGGAAAAATGGAGAGAAATTCTAAAAACTACTTTGTTTTAAGGAAAATGAGGGCTTAAAACTTACAACTTCCTTCCTATTTGAAATTTGGCTTGCCGTGGTGCTTTGCAAACCTTTGGTTGTGATTTACTCTGTCATTTATAAATTATGGTAAACACGCTGGAGCCAAACCTGCCGTTAAATAAATTCTCAAATAATCCCTTACATTCATTTATTTCACTAATCATTTACCTTCTGTGCAGCACCCACTAATTTTGTGGTATCTGTTTCCTTGATATAAATTGGTCCTAATTTCTCTTTTTACTTCTGTCCTTTCTTCCCTCATGATAGCTTCTCTTGCCTCTTGCTGCAAGAATGTCTGAGGAGTCTTACTTTGAATCTAAGACAGAGGAGTCAAACAGTGCAGAGATGTCATGTCAGATCACAGCAACAAGTAACGGGGAGGGCCATGGCATGAACCAAAGTCTGCAGGCCATGATGCTGATGGGCTTTGGGGATATCTTCTCAATGAACAAAGCAGGAGCTGTGATGCATTCTGGGATGCAGATAAACATGCAAGCCAAGCAGAACTCTTCCAAAACTACATCTAAGAGAAGGGGGAAGAAGGTCAACATGGCCCTGGGGTTCAGTGATTTTGACTTGTCGGAAGGTGATGATGACGGTGATGATGACGGTGATGAGGAAGATAATGACATGGATAACAATAGTGAATGAAAGCAGAGAGCAAAGTATTAAAATTGAAAATGTCCGGGAAAACAAAAGAAACTTGTTATCTCAGTCTGTACAGAAACCAGTAAGGAGGTAGAAAACCAAGCACTGCATTTTTAGGCCAATCACATTTATATGACAGTCATTTCTTTACGATTTTACTTTTGATTTGTCTTTGCTTACAGAAAAGGGGGGAGGGGATTAAGCCAAAAAGGTCTATTCAATGAATCAGCAAATGTGGTGCCTGATTATAGAAACTTGTGATTCTATATGTAATATAGCATTTTTTAACTAATGACATTCTGGCTTTTAAAAAATGAATACATTATAGTTTGATTTGATTTGATTTATTCAGTTGCTTTAAAAAGCTTACATTTTGAACAAGCACTCTTAACTCCTAATTCTTCTTTGACACTTGATTTTCTTGTAACATACTATGGTTTTTTTCCCTTATGGCAATACACCATACTGTCAGAAATAATTGATAGTGACTACAAAATCTAACAATAAAAAAATTGAAATGAAAGGAGGTTCTAACGAATACTTCTCCAGAAATACCTGAGTGCTGAGGGGTTTTAATACTTAATAGCACAACTACTGAAAGTAAAACCCAAGAGATGTTTTCAGTAGTACGTTTGCAGGAGAAATACTCTAACTTGAAACCAAACAGCAGTGTTGTGGCACTTCCGTACCAGTGCTCGCCCCAGAAGCTTCTTAACAGCACACGGTCATCTAAGGCTTAGCTTATACTTTATACAAAGAGAAAGAGAGGGTAAGGGATCACACTTCCAGGCAGTGTGAGTGTTAATATGGGGGCAGGAGTGTATGCGTGTGTGTTTGTTTTCCAGAGGGGCATGAGAATCCTGGATT